GAGACCTCAAGGTCTCTGGGGTCAGGGTCGTTTTTTTGTTAAAGTTTGGGTAGTAGGGAGTTGGGGGGCCTCCAGGGGTTGCAGTGGAGAAACAGGAGGCTTAGAGAGGGGAGTAGTTTTTGGTTGATAAAATGATAGCTCGAGGTATGGATTAGGAACTTTCATCTCGATCCAAGACCTGGTTGCTGTGTCCCAGGAGCTGCCAAGCAAAAGGGGAGTTAGGGGTTTAGCTTGTTCTCGGGACTCGACCTGTCGCGAGTTGTATCGGCAAGATGTCCCGTTGGGAGGGGGGAGGAGGACGCCCGCTGCAAAGTAAGATCCAGCACTGGACCGAAGTGCCGCAGTTCAGAGGTGGATTGTATTATATGTAATGCTATTTCTGATAATTGGAGGTTGCGATCTTGCGGTGGCACGTGAGGACCACCAGTGCAGCAGCAACGAGCAGATCTGCCTCAACGACGCTGATGGCTCAGGGGGCCCAAGTTCTGGTGCGACATCGTAGTCGTAGAGTCGTAGAAAAATTGAGCCTGCGTCCCGCTTAGCAAAGCAGACAGCGCAAAGGAGCGGGAGAGATGTAGATAGAGACGTAGATGTCGCTGTAGATATATCTATATATGCGCATGTACATATACGTACATATATATATATATATATATATATATACACATGCATGCACGTATACATCTACCTATACAAGCATACCTACCTACATACATACATATATATATATATATGTATATACATATATATGTATATACATATATATGTATATATATATATATACACATTTTTATATATATATATATATATATATAGGTTTTTCTTCTTGTATCCCAGAAGACCCGCGGCCCTGGCCGAGCCTGAGGTCATTGGCTTGGAGCCGCTGAAGAAACGAACCATGCTGGCGAGACTCGGCTCACAGTTTGCCTTAAGGTTCCGTATCATTACAAAATCTGGGCTTTGTGCCGCGTTTGTATGTGAAAAGCAAACTGCCGCCTGGGTTCTCTAGTCAATGACGTAAAAGCGAATCGCAAGCCATCTGACATCAAACTTCGACACGTTACTCAGCTGCCACTGGCTACCACTTGACGCGTCGAGTAACCTTGCACTTGGCGAAATACGAGCTAGATTACCACCCAGACCCTGCCCTCGATCGCTTTTTAAAGCTGCGCTGTGAAGACTTTCATCACGTTTTCAGCATGCCGTCGCACCTTAAACCCTAAACCCGAACAGTCGCAAATTCTTGAAAACCCGATGCGCGCCCTTTTTGTCAGCCTTGCAGGGCCAATGATGAAGAGTGCGTTCACTTCGCAAAGGGCTTCGCTTTCCCCTGTTCCCGACAATCTGAGCCGAAATTGTCCAGTTGCCATTGCGATCCCACTTGAACTGCTTGACTCATGGCATTCCGAGTTCGATTCGACGATCAGTACCTATTATCTCCAAAAGCTGAGTTCCGATCTGGTGAGGCACAAGCCCTTTGGTTTCGCGTGCCCGATCAGACTTCTTGTCCGATCACCTAGTTGTTAAGCCCTCTGCATCAGTCAAGTTGCCGCTGCTCAGCCCCAACACTTGTAATCTCACGCATCGCCGTGCAGGCTCGGTCGTATCTGATTTCAAGACAGATTGAGCCGAGAGAATGCTTCACGACAGATGTTGTCTTCAACTCGGAAGTCTTAGTGACTCCGTCGCTTCCGCCCGAGGAGCGGCATCTCCTTCAATCGTGGCGGCTGCACGGTGAGAAGCTGCGGAGAGCCCGTCCCTTGACTGCTGGGCGACCCCTCATCAGGGGCCTAAACCCTAAACCTAAACCCTAAACCCTAAACCCTAAACCCTAATCCCTAAACCCTAAACCCTAATCCTAGAGTCCTAGAACTTGACCATGACAATGGGGCCAGCCGCGAGACTCCGCAAATCACTCCCAACACGCAGACTGCCATGAAAAGCACCAAGAGAGACGCAGTTCAGCTAGCAACCACACCTATCACGACATCATAGGAGGAAGAGGAGCCCCTTAGTAGCTCCTATGTAAACAGCCGTACCCTAGATATCCGAAAACCCTAGACCCTAGAAATTGGTAGCAGCCGTAACAGCAGTCACAAGTGGCACCACTACAACTACCTCCCTGCGGCCCAGAACAGCATTTTTTCTGCCGGCCGAGGTGAGCGATCCATCCATGGTACAGCTGGGCATGGAGGATGCGCGGCTTCAGATCCTTCACTTTATGGGCCGCTGGTCTGGAGTTTGCATGCTGAGTCCGTAAATAAAGAAAGGTCGGCGGGTTTGAAACTTCGAAGTCCATGAATTCTAAATTGATATTCTTGGCAACAAGGACGTCAGCCTGTCAGGGATTCGGGGCAATTTCGGAATGGCCGCGAGAAGGCTTGATTTCGACGGGCAGGCTTTCCAGCTTCTCTTGAGCCTAACGATATGCATCAGCGACCCCACGTCGCGCTGTGCCAATGCTGCGATCATCATGGACCGTTGTGATTCTCACTAGATTTATCTTGTTAGCAGCTTCGTCACCACCATCATCGTCATCAGCATGCACCTGGAGACCCAATGGCCGCAGGGCAGGCTCGGAACCATGAAGGGCTTGCAAGCCTAGGACGCGAGAAGCCGAACAACTTAAGGCCCTCAAACTTCCAACACCTCGTGACGCAGACAATTGGCAAACAATTCTTCTCATCACCCCTACTCTTCTTCTAGCGGTTCTGACTTTGCTTGTTCTCTCAAGAGCCACTGTTCTCATTGTTGCTTTTGCTCAGGTGTTGTGGCTCTTAGCGTTCTTGTTCCTAGTGTGAGAGCTGTTTCTTCTCGTTGCCGTAGTGGCACTGTTGGCATTCTGCGGTATTCTCAATCATACTCGGTTCGATTTCTTATGGACAGTATCACAGGTTGCTGTTGCTTGTGTTTTACATTTCCGTTCTAGTTGCTGCTGTTTCTGTTGCTGCTGTTGCTGCTGCTGGTGGTGCTGCTGCTGGTGCTGTTGCTGCTGGTGCTGTTGCTGCTGCTGCTGCGGCTGCTGCTGCTGCTGTTGTTGTTGTCGTCGATGATGTGACAACGGCGGCGGCTTTTACCAGTCTCTTGTGCTACCATGCCCGCTCCTGCTAAAAGTCTGCTAAAGTTATCTAAAGCAGTACCACTCTGACGACTGCGATTGCTGCTGCTACAACTGCGGCGACTACGACGACGACTACTACTACCACTAATTCTACGCTGTCGGCCACTACCCATCATCCACTATTGAATGTGTTCTTTCCACTCTCTTCTGTCATCTAGTCCCGCTTTTGCTGCTGCTGCTACTGCTGCTACTACTTCCACTAGTCACTACTGCTGCTGCTGCTACTACCACCACCACCACCACCAGCACCACCACCACCACGACCACTACCACTGCCCTACCGCCACTACTGCTACTATACTACTGCTACTGCTGCAACTCCTGCTGCTACTGCTACTACTACTCCTCCTCCTACAACAACAACAACTACTACTACTACAACTACTACTACTACTACTACTACTACTACTACTACTACTATACTACTACTACTACTACTACTACTACTACTACTACTACTACTACTACTACTACTACTACTACTACTACTACTACTACTACTACTACTACTACTACTACTACTACTACTACTACTACTACTACTACTACTACTACTACTACTACTACTACTACTACTCCTACTCCTACTCCTACTCCTACTCCTACTCCTACTCCTACTCCTACTACTACTACTACTACTACTACTACTACTACCACTACTACTATTACTTAGTCTTACTCCTTCCTACTCCTACTCCTACTCCAACTCCTACTCCTCCTGTTCCTGCTTATGCTCCTGCAACTGTGACTGGCTGTCACTAGAATAGCTGGGAACAAACAATCTCTCAGCTTCAGGGGATCACACCTTGGCGGACAAAGTCCTGTGCGACGGGCACATTGACTACACCGGCGAGGGCGCGAACGGATGCTCTGCTCCGGTTTAATGTAGAAGCCTGAAGCCCCAGTGGTGCTTTTCAGTAAAGCAGCCCAAAGACCTAAACAAAGAGTGACGGACGGACGAGGGACGAATTTGGAAAACCAACCTTAAATTCTAAGCCCTGAACTTTGAACGAGGGTCCTTTGAAGCAAACCATAGTTCTCACCGGCCGACGTTAAACGATGAACCGCGAATTGAGCTTAGAACCTCCAGCCCTGCGTTAAGAGACTCCTTTCTCAAAGCAGTTCTTCAGGATTCGGGTGCAGCATGATCGGGTCGCTTTTCGCCCTGAACGCCTCGGCTGCTGCCGGACCTCCGCTGTCCTGGACCTTCCAGTGCTGCTGAGATGGTCCCGGCCTGGTGTAGTCGGTTTCAGCAGGGTTTGGTTTGCTATGGGTTGGAAGACACGAAACCAAGAGAGCCCTCAACCCAAATGGACGAAAGATCGTTTTGGCTTTCAACGAACACACGGCCGGGACGCTTAAACATCAGAGCTCGAGCTTGGAACTTGGAGCGCGTCACCAAGAAACAGGTCAGTGTGTGCGTTTCTCGGGCTTTGGGTTGAGGATCCAGCACGCATGGGTCCCCTAACGTGGACCTTTGTGACATTTTGTGACCTACATAAAACGGTGCTCCTTCGTCCTGGCAAAATACCTGACATTGCTAGGCCAATCAAGGCTGCTGTTGTTGTTGTTGTTGCTGCAGTGAGTGCCTTGCACTTGCCTGGCCCAAAGCACCACATTGCAGCTACGAAGAGGGCCTACGGTTTCGGCTCTATACCCTAAGCCCTGCTTCAGGCTTTCGGGTGAAGGGTTTGGGAGAAACGACCTGTAGGGGGCATGTTCTAGGGTAGGTCGAGCTTCGGACTTTCTCGGCACATTGCCCAGTCAAGTGCACTTTCTTGACCGCTTACGCTCTTGCGCCTTACATTCAACAGCATCATAGCCTTACTTACGACCATAAGAGAAATTTAATCTCTCATGCAAGAAAGCTCATGGCGAGGCATACGATGCAGACCTCCCGGGGCCCCCGGCCTTGCATCGGATCAACCGGCTCTGGCGGAAGGCATCTGCGAGGTTTGGGGTTCATTCCTCAGGGTTTCTGAATTGGTATGGTTGTATATACTGTCGTATACCTCAGAATGCTTTATTCTAAGCAAACGTCTCTCCGCACCGGGATCTCGACCGACCGCATGCTTCAGGCGCGAAGCCCAAAGCCTCAATCAAGCCCTATGTTGCCTCAAGGCTTGTTGCCCCAATCTTCTACGCTAGCAACAATGGCCTGAATACTTGCAAGTGCGGCTTTTGCCACATGGGTAGTTGTCAAAATTAGGGTCCCTTTTTGGGTACCCTAAATATTAGGTGCCGTATTCTATTAAGGACCCAAAAAACGCACCCTAATTTTGACAACTACCCACATGGTATGTTTGCTCATCACAGTTTAGTGCTCAACAGATCGGATCCCCCCTTATGGGAGTTTCCGAAAATAGGAGACCCTAATATGGTATCCTAAATAGTAGGATCTTCATTATGAGGACACCAAAATATGGTGGCCCCCGATTTGCGCAAACTCCCAAAGGGACCATGGCCCTTAATTTTCGGAAACTCCCTCATATTAGCCCAAGCGCCTCTCAGCCGAAGGCATCCCCTGGCCCACTCCGAGCCCTCAGATTCCCAAGTCCGACCAAGAGGATTTTCGAAGACCCGAGAAGGGTGTAGGGCGTAATATAGACGTCTGAATAACTAGAAAAGGGTTCCCTTCAAAGGGTTCCTTAAAGGGATCTATAGTAGGGTTCTATAGTATAGGGGCCTTAATCATTTGAACAGAGTTTTGGGGCCCATGATACTATAATTATAATGTAAGGTGTAGGATCCGAAACCCTGCAGCCAAAAAGCCCCAAAACCCTAAACCTTAAACCCTAAAACCCTAAACCCTAAACCTTAAACCCTAAAACCCTAAATCCTAAACCTTAAACCCTAAAACCCTAAAACCCTAAACTGATCCGCGGACCCTGACGAGGCCACCAAGGCCTTCGAGTCGACGCAGCAGGCGAAGGTCGAGCCTCTTGCAGCTTTAAGGTCTGGTAGTAAATGGTAGTATTATAGGGGCCTTAATCATGAGACTAGGGTTCCCTTTAAAGGGTTCCTCCAAGGGATCTATAGTAGGGTTCTATAATATAGGGCCCTTAACAATTACCTGAACTATTTTTGGGTTCCTGAGCATAATCGGCCGCTTGTGGAGGAGCAAGGCTTAGGGCCATGGATTTGCAGATTAGGGTGTGCGCGGTGTGCCGATGGAGTTTGTTGGGTTCAGGGCCTATCGGGTTAAGACCTAGCTGAAAGTTACAATCCCAATTCCCGGGGTCTGAGCATCTTTTTGAGAGTCATAGTGGGATGGGCTGTGAGTTCTTGGATAGGGTATGAAAGCCGCTTTCCGATTACAAGCACCGTCCCCTGTTGTACTACAGCGAGCGAGTTTTTGCATGGCTAGTGCAGCACCACACTCCCACCGCCAGTCATATCCATGACCATATTTATCATATGTATACATATATTATGTATACATATATTATGTATACATGTATTATGTATACAAACATTATATATACATATATTATGTTTACATGTATTATGTATACATACATTATGTATACATATATTATGTATAAATATATTATGTATACATATATTATGTATACAAATATTATGTATACAAATATTATGTATACATAAATTATTACGTAACTTATGTATACATATATATATATATGTATGCGCACTAGTTCTACATGATAAGAACAACAAAAGAACCGGTACAATAGTGACGCACACGTAACCACATTTTCGCTTATCAGTCATGCAACAGCCTGAGTCCTGTCGTGTTGGGCAGACACTGGAAACGGCTGCTGCCTTGGAGGAGACTGCAGCCCTACCGTCAAATGCTTGGCCTAGAGTCTAAACTTGAAGCGGAATCGGACCCTAAATGCACAGCCGAGATCCTGAACCTATCGACAGAAGCAAGTCTAAGGCTTCAGCATTCGGTTTGGTGAGGATTGCGCGAAATTGGGAGTGCGTGAAATTCAATGCCCGGATCCTTGCAATTCCAATGTAGGCTTCAACGTTGGGGCTTGCATTGAGGCCCCAGATGGGAGAATCCCCAAAACCATGGCAATATTGATGCGCCAATCCCCTTGAAGCAACGAGCCAGGTTCAAGAATTCAATGCCCGAACCCTGTGCCCCAAATCTGAAGACTCAGACGCCAAAAGTCCATGTCTGCAGTCTGTCTGGATAGTCCCGTTGTAGTTTGCATTTTTTACACTTTCCTTTTTCTACCACCAGCACTGTCATTGCTCATAATTGCCTCCGCTGTCAGATGCATCTTGTCATAAAGAATCGTTTTTTCACTGTAGCCTTAAACCCCTAAGCCCTACCCTAAACCCTAAACCCCTAAACCCCCAGCCCTAACCCAGGGTAAGCAGTTACGTCGAGAGGCCCCAGAGGCCTCAAACCTGGGACTCTTTAGACTTTCCAACCTAAAGCCCTGTGCTCTTGGCCCTTGGACCCTGAAGCCCTCAAGCCCTAAACCTTGAACAGATAAACCCGAAACCCGAAACTCTAAGCCCTTGGCCGTTTCAGCTCCTGTGCCCGCCACCAAGTCGGCTGAGCCCGTTGCGCCAGCCACTGGGCCCATCGTTGCCGCTCCTCCTGCTGCAGGACGGGCCGCCACAGGTGATGCGAAGGCGCGTGAGCCTCCGCCTTCCAAGGAAGCCAGTGCGCAGCGTGCTTGCAGAGACCTGCGATGCCGCATGCTGCCACCTTCAGCCCAGTTGAAACGGGCGGCGTGGGTGACTGTGCGTACACCAGTATCGCCGCGGGCCTTGCGCAGATGTCTGGCACGGACGCCACGGCAGCTAACTTGAAGCCTGGAGGGCACCTCCAGGCGTACCTCTGTTGCGAGGCTTTCGAGAAGACACAAGTGGAAATTGCGTGCCTATGTTGGTCAGCACCGTCAGCCCAGCCCTGCCCAGCGCAGGCCAACCCACCACGTCCATGCCCATACTAACAGCCTCTTGGTCAGCTAAAAAAATGGAAACCAGGGTTCCAAAAGCAAAAACTTTGGCTCAACATGTTTCGAACTTCGCACCCAAACACTTCACAATTTCAACAAACCTGGAAACCCTGCACCCTGAAACCAACTAAAACGCTAAACCCCGAACACTACACCCTGAACCCTAAAACCCTAAACCCTAAAAACCAAGAACCCTAAAACCCCTAAAAACCTTAAACCCTAAAAACCCTAAATCCCTAAAAACCCTAAACCCTAACAACCCTAAACCCTAAACCCCTACAAAAAGCGTCCCCGCCCACGGAGGAGCAGCGCCTGATCCTAGAGTCCCGACGAGCGCAGGCGCGGAGTAAGGTGGATACAGGGGCCTTTATTCCTGTAAAGGGATCTGCGCGGGTGCCTTTAAAGGCATCTATAAGGGCCCCTTTAGAGACTCTATAGTAGGGGTGAGGGTTTAGGGTGTATAAATAGAGTAGGGTTTCAGAGGGTTCCTACTCTATAAAGGGGTCTGTAAGGGTTACGACGGTTACGATGATGGATACTATAAGAGGGGCTTTTGCAATTAGAGTAGCGTTCCCTTTAAGGGGTTCCTCGATTCCTTTAAAGGGGTCTATAAGGGTTACTATAAGGGCTACTATAAAGGGGCCTTTATAATTAGAGTAGGGTTCCCTTCAAAGGGGTCCTTAAAGGGATCTATAGTAGGGTTCTATAGTATAGGTGCCTTAATAATTAGAATGGGGTTCCCGTAAAGGAGTCTATAAGGGGTCTATAAGGGCTACTTTTAGGGATCTATAAGGGGTTCTACAATGTAGGGGCCTTAATAGTTAGAATAGGGTTTGGGGGGGTATATTATACTGTAGTAGTAGTATTCTAACTATGAAGGCTCCTAGATTATCTGTTGGTGGTTCACAGCTTAGGGCTTTCGGGGGTTTAGCAGGGGTCTACGGGGATTACGGCCTGGGGCTATTTGTTGGGGGTGTCGTGTTTAGGTAGTGTGGGGTCTAGTATCTCAGAGTTTGGGGTTAGGGTTCATGAAGCGTCTATCGGAAGCCCCAGATCCGAATCTTTGAAGCCAAAGCGCCGGAACAGACTTGTTTTGAAGACTTTCTGCTGAAAGCTCTGGAATAAGGAGGGGGTTTAAGGGATGTTAAATGCATGGTAACTCGGTCGTCGTGTTCGTGGCCGCTTCCGTCTGGCGTTTTCAAGACCTAGCAGATTCAGTTGTGTTGCTTTACATACATGGCGATATACCGGCTGATTGACACACTTTGCGAACTTAATTATGCCCTGAGTTGAGGTCGAAAACGAGAAGGAGCAGCAAATCACACTGCTGGGGCCTTACATTGCTGTCATCGGCATGTGCGAGACCGGTTGCCTCTTCCTGTTCCAGAAGTTGTGTACCGATCGGGCCTTTGTTGGTTTGGAGGAAGGAAACAGTACAGAGCGATCCATACGATGCAACAAAAGATCCTGGTGAGGCTGCATTGCCAGGCATGTAGGCATGTCATGCGCTGCGTTGCATTGAAGCAACACAGCAGCCACGAGCATGATGCGGTTGTGCAGCACCCTACATGAGCAGTTGTTTTATGTAGATGTGCGTCTCCCAAACCCTTAACTCCAAGCCGGCCGAAGCACTTGCAGGCTCAGGTAGAACTCTCTTTGGGAGCTCGTAAGCATGGCGGACTTCAAGTTGAAGGTGGATGAATCCAACAAGGCAACGGAGTTGCCCCTGCTCCGCATCTGCGGCACTGTTCAGCAGAATCCACATATGCGAGCATTCTGGGGTAGTGTCTTCTCGTTCTTCCTCGCCTTCTTGGGTTGGTTCGCCCTTGCCCCGTTGGGGCTGGAGGTGGCTCACGGAGCCCTACCCGTACCGGGCAACGGCATTCGATGTCATGCCGAAGCTGGCCTATCACGCCATCTATTGGCGTAACTTACTAAGATTTTGAACTCTGGCCTCATCCCGGGGGGGAAGATGACATCCAAGGGGAACAGTGGGAGGCCCTTCAACATGTTTGCGTTGGAGCCACAATGGGACAGGAAGTCCAACCAAGGTGTCCGCCCAGGTGCCCAGCTCGAATTCGTTATAGACTTGCAGCTCCCTGCGTGCGACGGCTGCCGATTCTTCGAAACCAAAGCTGGAGCCGACACCAGATTGGGTGAGCAATCGAGCCATCATGTACGCCTATGATCGGTCGACCCAAGAAATGATCTGGGCCAACCGGGCGTACGAACCGGTGCGGAAGCGCCTGGCTCAAGCTTGCAAGGACAAGAGTCTGAACACGCCGATTTTCGGCGAGTGGGGTCACCAGGAGCTGGTCGACGCGAACGGGTATTGCTACAACTTCATTGTGGCTGGCCTGGGGTATCGCAACTTCCACACGTGGAAGGACGCCGCTAAGGCCGCTACGGCATGCAAGGACGTCTACGACCTGGACTTCTATCCAACAAGTATGTGTGGTCTTGACGTTCGCATCCCGGAAGGGCATGCCTTGCAGGGCTCAGAGTCTTTGTACCAAATGGTTGTTCACGTGGCGCCCAGGCATCCCCATCACAAGTGCAACGGCGAGTCGGATTGGCGTCGCCAGGAGAATGTGAGCATTCCTTCATTTGCCTGCCCGGCTTGCGGTACTTCCAATGTTGACGGCACCATCTGTTGCTACAGGTGCGAAGCTCGTCTGGAACCGCATTCCGATGTCAGTATGGCCCTTGAGAATGTGCGTGCCAAGCAGGTTGCCGCTCGGAAGAGTGAGCCCCTTGACTATCGGGCTTTGCAACCTCGCGGTGAAGTGAACTCCAATCGGGCCACGGGGCACAAGAAGGAACGCAGCGCAGGATCCGGGCCGGCTGCGGTACGACAGCAAGCCGCGAAATACCTTGCCGCTCAGTCATGGAGAGACAATCCCGCGATCCGTTCATGGCCTACAACAGTGCGCGGTTCGGCATTTCGATCACTGGGTTGGAACAGTTAATGATCTTTGCCCGCATGAGAATCGCCAACCCGCCGAGGTCTCGCCAGATGATTGCGGATCGCACTGGCTTTGACGGCGCTGCCAAGGTAAGCTTCTCATTCCCACCGGAAGGTGAGGACCTGACCCTTACGAATCACTGCTACGTGGCGTTTGTGGACAGGTTCTACAAGTTGGATGAAGCTGCTCTCCTGGCATTCGCGGTTCACCGTAACAGCTATGTCATGGAGATCCTTGGATTCAGCGGCCGTGTTCTGAAGCCGGCGAGAATCGTGGGATTCTTCCAAGATGAGGTCCAATTGGTCCAATATGCGGTCGAGCGTGGTGAGCAGGTACCTGAGCTGGTGTTGCCAGCTGGCGAAGAGCTTCGCGTGTGGGAAGGGCTCGCCTCTCTTGGGGATCGGCAACTCAACGAGCTTGTCATTCACACGAAGTTCGCCAGAGAGCTCCCCGGCACCAAGCATGTCAACGAGAGGTTCGGATACGCCTACCGGGCGGGGACCACCGAGAGAGGAAGATCTGCTCAGCCACCGACTCCGAAAGCCAGGCCAACAACCAGGGCAACCGGCAGTGCACAGCGGTCTGGCTCAGTGCCTCCGAAGCCAAGGGCTCGCCCACGTGATCCCTCTCCAGGAGTGGCGGCGACACGGATGAGGCCAACAGAGCCTAACTATCCGCCGCCCGGAAGGGATGTGCCCGGCTCATCAACCGACGCACCCATGCGTCCTCCCGAGCCAAAGGGGCCTCCGCCGACGGCTTTGGTCGTTGACTCAAGGGGGAACCCTATTGACCCATCGCAGCCTCGCCAGTTCTACTTTACTCGGCATGATTCGCTGCTATGGGCACGCCTCAAAGCGTCTCGGGATAAGAATGTTCCAAGAGGCCTGAAAGTTGGGGTGTACCCGCCTTCAACGACTTGAACGACTTCCACCTCTTGGCGCCGGAGCATGTCCAGTACTACCTGGCTGGATGGAAGGAAACCCAGAATGGGATTCGCCTTTACTGATTGCCGCGTCTTGTGCAGTTCAGTAGCAGCTTAATTTGCTTTTGCAGGCTCATTTCTTTTGCTTTCTCCACCCTGACGGGTCGGACGTGTAAGAGTAGTTTATCTGCTCCATGACCACCATTTCGCCTCCCTGACGGGACGGCCCATGTAAAGGGCCGAACTGATGGGACTTTCTATGTCAGGAGTGTTGAGATCATTTCTAAGAGCTTCGTTACGCCTGAGGTGTAAAACAGTCAACTTTTCGCATTCGCAACGTGTTAGTAGCACACTGTACTTCTCCTTTCGCCTCTTTTCGCTGCCCTAAGAGGCGCTGGGGGTGTTTTATGGCTCTTTGTACGTATGTCTACCGACTTTACTGTTGCTTGGCTCAAGACAAAAGTGTGTTCGCAGTTTTGTGCTGTCGTGCACTAACTATAATCTTGCCCGCCACATGCAACTTTCGCAGCATGTCTTGCGGAGCCTAAACCCTAAACCCGAAACCCTGAACCCGAAACCCGAAACCCTAAACCCTAAACCCGAAAGCATAAAGCTTCGACTCAGGCGTGACCAGGAGATCTCCGCTCTCAAAGAAGAGCTCGAGGCTTGGGGTGTGCGGACGGTAGTAATAATGCAGCATAGCAGCATATAGTATACTATAGTGAAGTTAAAATTCGTTTAGTACAGAAAAGAAGAGTTCATAGTATAATATAGTATAATACAGTATAAGATGAGTTAGAGACTTCGGTTCCCGGTTTAGGGTTTAGGCCTTAGGGTTTAGGGGTTTAGGCTTCAGGCTTTAGGAGTTTAGGGTTTAGGGCTTCGGGTATAGAGGTGTTGATTAGTACCTAGTTTATGGTCCCACGTACGGGTTGCTTTACGGCTTATTGGCCTGGTCACTATAAGGGTTTATTTGGCATAGGGGTCTCAATGATTTGGGGTATACTAGCCGCGAATGATAGCAAGATGGGGGTCTGAAAAGCTATCAATGTTATTCCGCAAGGATCCTCAAAGCCAGTCCGTCATATACCCCACCAAGCCCTAATTTAATTTTTGAGGCCCCTTGTTAGCGGGTTGAGGGTGCAAGTTTCCCGGATTCCCGCGCCTCGTGCTTGCTCGGAGACGTCTGAAACCGCGAAACCCCAAACGCAACGTCTGCAGCCCCGAACGCCCAGAAGCAGTGGCAGAAGGATTAGCAGAAGCTGAAAGGGAGTAGTCCGTCGTGCAGGATAGCATAGAAGTAACAATGCCGATGACCAGGGTTGTGATGATCAAGATCTTGCTTACTGCTTGCCCGGGCGATTGCAACCGCAATTATTCAAGAGTCTCTGTCGAGATTGGGTCTGACAATCTTCGATGAATTCGATGTGGGTCAGGTGCTCCGTGCAGACGGAGAGCAAAAGGACGGCGCGAAGGCGCCCAGTCCTCGCCCCCCTGACCCGTGTCCGACTCACCAGCCGCGAGCCTTTCACCCAAATGCAAACTGCATGGGGTTTCGAGGGTATGCGCATTTAGCACTTGAAGGGACTACGACGGTGTGTCGTTTTTCTTGCTTCCTGGCACATTCCTTCCATGCTGTTTGCGCTTCTGTTCTCTGGTTGGCTTTTAGGACTTTATCTGTGATGGACTTCTCAATATTTGTTAAATGCTACGGGCCACCGATTTTGCTGAAAGTCCCACATCCCAAGCCCTTAGACCCCAACCCTGCAACCCGAAAGGCCTTCATGCACACCCGATCTAAAGGCTTCAGCCCACAACCCCAGAATCACAAGAAGACGGCCCTATGCCCTGAACCGTAAACCTGGCATTCTGAAGTCCTGGAGGCCCTCAATTCCTAAAGCCCGAAATCCCGGAACCACAGAGCCCTTTAACCCTCATCCCGAACCCAAAAAATCTTCAAAGATGCATATCGGCACAAACCCTGAAGCTGTCTAAGAGAAGCCTCCAGAGGCAACCCGATAGTTATCCTTCTAGCAGCCCTTAAAGTATCCAATCTAGTAAGCCTTCGATACGAGCCCTCATAGAGCCCTACAAAGGAGGCTCGTAGAGTCCCCCTCAACAAAAGGCAGCGCTGTCGCTCGAACTCGAGGCTGTCAGAGATGCTTTCCTGGTGTTGATGCCACGGGATGCCACAAAGGGATCCAGGAATTTTTGTAGGGCGGATGAGCTTTGTTTGCAGCGGTTGTAAGGCAAACAGCAAACACAATAGATGTAGGATTGCACAAAGGTTTGGTTTTAATGGTTTGCTTGGACCTACGTTTCGTTTAGTAGGCTTGGAAGGTCTGGAATGATAGAGCTTTGGGATTTGGAGATCATAAAGTTGGGGGGTGTTTAACGTTTCAGGGAGTTTTGGGCTTTGACATTTCAGTGCTCCTGGGGTGCCGTGCGATCTTCGGTGTTTGGGAAGTATGTCGCGACTGGTTTATTTTGATCAAAGTGTCAGGTTCCAGAGTGTTGGGGATTTCCAGCTGGCAAGTAGGGGCAGTTTCTGCAATTACGTGGTTCACGCCTTCTATCTGTGTCGGATTTCAATTCGCCCCAAACCTTAAATCCCTGGAAACCCTAAGCTCCTAAACACTGGACCTTAAACCCCTAACCCTGAACGACAAGCCGCTGGCTCCAGGCATAGGCCGCCAAGCAACTGTGGGTGGGCAGAGACGAAGCCCGTCACAATCGATGGCGAAAGGCCGACCAGCACACCCGCACACGTCTCCACAGCCATGGGAGCAGTCGCACCAACGTCGGACCGGGTACCGGAACGTGTTCTCCTCGATACCCCGGTGCAGGGGAGATCTGTTCTGGGTTTGGGTGGGTTGGTGGGGAATCTGGGGTCTGCCCTGGCCCTTGTCCTGTCCTCCTGTTTTGTTTTCTGGCGGTGTCAAGAATTGGAGCCGAAGAAAAAAGTGGAATGAGCTTCGGCCGAAACCCCAAAAAAATGGGCGTGGGAGGTTCGGCGGCCGTATATGGCGTGGGGTAGGAAAGAAAGACGGAAAACCCGCTTATAGACAGGATTTCACAGCTCATCGCCCTGAATGGCACCGATCACCCGATCTACCTGTTCAATGGCACACAGGGCACCACCGATGTCTTCAATAGGCAGGGAAGGAAGCCGCGGCTTGCCCTTTTTACATGTCGGGGCACTTCGAGGCGCTGGCAGGCCAGTGCTGTGATAAGACAGCATGTGGTGAGCTTCAGATGGCCCGCATTTTGGCTTCAGAAAAGCTCCGCTCCTCACGCGCTTGCGTCTGCGGTTGCCAGGCCCCTAAGCCCAGGTATTTCAACGATCGATACCCCATGGATGCTCGGAAGAGAAACAGGAAACAATGCAGTCAGTGCCTTGATGAGTCTCCGGCCCGACTTCCAGCTCTCCGAAGACAAACTTGCAATCGGGCTTTGCAGCGCAAGTTGGAGCCGATTCGAGATTCTGGATGGAAGTCGAGGTTTTGTCACGTCGGCCTCTCAAGACGGCCTTGATACATCGTCTGCGACCCCAGTGGGTGAGTGATTCAGATCAGCTTCGAGCCCTCATGGCGACCACGCGACGGCTTTCAAGAAGGCTAGCCAGCACATGGACGATTCGGAACAGGCTTTTGAGTCCTTCGAACAGCAGCTCTCGGACGACACAGGCCCGCCGCGCAGATTGCTTTCGGCCTGGATGGAGCGCATGAGGGATGTATGGGCGCTGTGTCCAATGTGGGTCAGGGTTATTTTCACTTCGACCCTGGCGGCTTGCTTGCCACGTCGCCTCAAGAGCAAGGTCAAGTCATTTCTGGTCATGAGCTTCACAAGGCGCCTCCTTGCCCGCAACCCAGCCGCGGCTCGTCCAGGACAAGGACATCCGCCGTGAGTGTCGCAACGCTGCGCCGAGCTCCGCTTGTCTCTGCTAGGCGAGTTTCATAGCGCGTTGGACGCAACAATGATGTTTCCTTCATCATGGTCGCAGGCTCGCTTGGTGTGCGTTGTGCCAGGCCCATCACCATTTTGATAGTCGCTTCTAGAGCCTACTGTTGTCCTCGCGCCGAGCCAGAGTCTTTGAACCAGAACAGCGGTTACGGGTCCAGATATGTTAGATTCGTTACATTCCTCTGGATCAGCGAGCGTGGTGCTGCCCGCACCCGCACTGTCAAAAGGCTTGCCCCACCTGCCTGCAGGGCAGCATCGCAAAAGCGTGCAGGCGCACAACGCTGCTGAGCACCCTAGAGTTAAGGTTTCTAGTGTTAAGAGCCGAAAACGCCTGTGGACGAGATGGAGACAAGATGAATCCACTGTTCCTAGCTTTACTCGTGGCATCAAGCTGCGAGTTGCCAGCCAGCACAAGTCTAAGCAGAAGAGGTTGGACAAAAACCAGGGTGGCCATAAGGCTGTGCTGTTCCACCCTGATTGGGCTATCATCCCTAAAGCTGCTAAGAGCGCCTCGCCGAAGCAGCAGAAAGGCGGCGGAACCACCTGTACCTGCTGCTGGAGGTTCGTGCTGAAAAGCACACTTGAGAACTCGCGTAAACCGCAGCTTTGCAACAAGCGTCCCGAACCGTGTAACCAGGCAAGGGCCTCCTGGCTTCGCATCCAGTCCAGCCGGAAGACAGTTCATCAGCTCCTCAACATATGGAAGGTTACGCTTGAGCAAGCCAAGGCTAAGTTTGAGAGACTTGTGGAGGAGGGCATTGAGCCCAATCCTGGTCCATCTGGTCATCGACGTGGCAGCGTGTCCCAAGCCTCGCGCATGCCCCGATGTGCCACGGCAGAGCCAGAGTCGTTGAACCAGAACAGCGGCCAAGTGAAGGGTCCAGACATGCTAGATTCGTTGCAGATGTTTTGTGGCGCCGCTTCCGTGTCTGTCAAGCCAAGTTGATTCAGTCTACTCGATGTCGCCTCTGCGATGAGCACGCTCCACTTTGTGCCAAATGGCTTGCCAAGCTGTCTTCGCCACTGCGGTGTAGGGCCTGTTGGTGGCGTGGGCTGCAGTCCTGCTCAGTTGAATGCGCTTCAGTGCTATGTCGTGCAACGAGCTTTAGGCTTGGGGTCGACACCGTTCGACGGGATCGACGGATGATGAATGCTAAAACCCTACTGTAAATCCTAAACCCTGAAACCCTGAAGTCTCAACATACAGCTTTTGGTCCAGGCGTTGCGCTCGGAGATGCGGAGCTCCCAGGATTCCTCGGCGGAGTTGGTCCGCCTGGCTTGAGGTTTGGAGATTCACGGTTTCGGACCTCCGGGGTTTCCGAGTGAAGGACTCGGGAGTGAAGGAGTTTGAAATTGGTGTTATCTAGCCTTTATGTCCGGGCCATCCTTGTAGCAGCAAACACACAACGACGAAAGCTGGTAGTGTCAGCTTCTGCCGCCATTTCCTTCATCGCCAGCATACAAGTGACGACTGCGTTAACATTGCAGCCGCCGCAACTATGTCCCACGCGGCGACAGGGGCTGATGATGATCACGATGATGCCATAGACTTGACTGTGAGTGCGGCGATGACGATCACAATGCGGATGCGGATGACAATCGTCATGATCATTCAGATGACGGTGATTATGGTGGTAATGTTGATGATAGTGGTGATGATGGTGATGATGACGATGATCCAGATGCAGATGTGGATGATGCAATGATGGTGCTGGCAATGATGGCGGTGAGAATGATGATGTGGGTGTTAGTTAGCATTGTTGTCAAATGCTCGTAATTGACCGTTGCCGTACATAAACTCAAAACTTCGGTTAAGTAAAGAAATGTATTGTTATTCCTGTTGTTTGCATCGTCCATCGCCATATCTTCCATGTATATGTTTTGCTTGTCAGTTTTTTGCTTCGCTGTTCGGCACCGTCGAAGTCGCCTTCGTCGTCGGTGTCGTCAAGCGAAGGGCTGGCGGCGGCGAGGACGTCAACGACAACTGCTGCTGGTGCTGGTGCTGCTGCTGCTTCTACATCAACAACAACCGCTACTACTACTATTACTACTACGACTACAACTACGACTACGACCTACTACTACTACTACCACCACTACTACTACTACCACCACTACTACTACTACTACTACGACTACCACTCACTACGACTACTACAACAACTACTAGTACTGGTACTAGTACTAGTACTAGTACTACTACTACTACTACCACCACTACTACTACTACTACTACAACTACGACTACCACTCACTACGACTACAACAAGTACAAGTACAAGTACAAGTACAAGTACAAGTACAAGTACGAGTACAGGTACTGGTGCTAGTACTAGTACTAGTACTAGTACTAGTACTAGTACTACTACTACCACCACTACTACTACTACTACTACGACTACCACACTACGACTACTACAACAACTACTAGTACTAGTACTAGTACTCGTACTCGTACTAGTACTAGTACTAGTACTAGTACTAGTACTACTACTACTAGTACTACTACTAGTACTAGTACTAGTACTAGTACTAGTACTAGTACTAGTACTACTACTACTACTACTACTACTACTACTTCCACTACCACTACCACTACCACTACCACTACCACTACCACTACCACTACCACTATTACTACGACTGCTGCTACTGCTGCTGCTATTTCTACTGATACCACTACTGCGACTACTGCTACTGCTACTGCTTCCAGTATTGCAACTACTGCTGCTACTCTCTGCTGCTATAGCTGCTACTACTACCACTACTTCTACTACTAGTACTACTACTACTACGACGACGGCGACGACTACTACTACTACTACAACTACTACTACTACTACTACTACTACTACTACTACTACTACTCCCAGTACTGCTGCTGCTACTGCTATTGCTAGCGCAACTGCTACTGCAACTGCTATTGCTATTGCTACCGCTACCGCTATCGCTACGGCTACTACTGCTACTGCTACTGCTCTTGCTACTGCTACTGCTACTGTTACTGCTACTGCTGCTGCTGCTTTATTGCTGCTACTGCTACTCTTGCTGCTACTGCTACTGTTACTGCTACTGCTGCTGCAGCTACTATTGCTGCTATTGCCGCTGACGATGTTGAAAACAGTAGTAGTAGTAGTAGTAGTAGTAGTAGTAGTAGTAGTAGTAGTAGTAGTAGTAGTAGTAGTAGTGGTCATGATGATGATGGTGATGACGGTGATGTCTGATAGCCAGGACTCCCAAGTGCGCCAGCTGGAGGCTGTCGGGGTCGATCCCGGAGTGGCGTTTCTGCGAGTGCCATTGGTTTGTGAGCGGGGTTTGAGGCACCTTGGTATCCCCACAAAGCAGAGGACCACATTCCAGCATACATTCAGTTGAGAACGGAATCTCCTTTGCATCGGAGCCAGAGTTGTGGTATGACTGAATGTGTACCCTTGAGCTGCTGAGCTAGCCGGCGTCGAAGAGACGCGGTAGTAAAACGAGCCAGCTGCGTACTGAAGGTTGTACTGAGCAACCTGCCGGAGCGGCTGGGCATAGGGGTTGTCTTTACTTGTGTCCCACTCAGAGTTCTTTGTGGCAGCATACTCCCAGCCCCAAAAGCACGGCTAAAACCTAGAACTTAAAAGTCCTAAACCCTACACCAAAGCTTGACGCTCACCTTCTTACTCAGACTCTGCAAAAGCGCCTGGATTACGAATGGAGTGCTGAGCGAGAGGCGGCCCTTGCTTTTTGGGGTCTTGGGCTCTAGGAATCGGGGATTGCGGGATTCAGGGCGTGAGCTTTTCGCGTTTGAAGCTTAATCCCCTACCACTTAAACTTCATTAAGGTCACGGATTTCAGGTGCCACTGCCCCTCTGAGAGCTTTGGACATTGGAAGACGTTTAGGAACTAGCTGGTCCAGAATGAGCGAGGCAAGTATGTACAACGACCTTGCCTACAGGCGGAATTCTCGGAGGGATCCGATCCCCAAAATCCTGGCCTAAACCCCTAACACTGAGCCGCTATTCTGGCGATTCGGCTTAGAGAAGGTTCTGGAAAGGTCAGAAATGGCAGGGAGGGGAGATGCCCTGGGTTACCAGATCTCTTCCTGAAGGGAGTTGGTGTTTGGAGTATATCGTAGTGCAAAAATCGGAAAATATCGTATTCTGTCACATTGTAGTACATTATTTTACAGCATGTCACACTATGTGGTATCATATTGTGTTATACAGTTATACTCTATCACAGCTGTTCTATTCTATTCTGCTCTGGTGTATTATGCTGTAATACCTTGCATCATGCAGTACATTGAAGTTTCATCAGATGTGTGTTTCGGTAGGTGCTGAGAGGACCTCCCTGAACCCCAAACCGATGAACATGTGCCTATAAAGGAACATTTTGTATAGTAGCAGTGTAGCATTTTAGCAATATGGTACGTGGTAGTAGAGTAGCACAGTATGTTAGCAACATTGTAATTAATTAGTCAGATAGTAATAGAGTCCTTGAGTAGTATGTAGTAGTTTATTCGGTGATAGTACAGTAGTATAGTAATTTCGTAGTATAGTTTTTGAGCAATGTAGTAACATAGAAATATAGCAGTATAGTACTGTAGTAGTACAGTAATATAGAAGTTGGTAATATACTACTATAGTAAGCTAGCAAGATGGAAGGATAATAAGATAGTAAGATAGTAAGACAGCAAGATAGCCAGATACTGCTATAGTTATATCATCAAAGCAGCAATGTCGCGACATAGCAATGGAGTCATAAAGCAATAGTGCAACAGAGTGTTAAAGTAATATAGCATTACATTAATGCAGTAATACAGCAAATTATCAATATAGCATTACCCTCATACAGCATAACGGAAATACATTATAGTAGTGTAGTATTGTAGCAATATAGTAACATGGTTAATCTAGTAATATAGTTAATGTGCTTAATATAGTGATCATGGCTAATATAATATAGTTAATATAGTTAGTATACTTAAGATAGTGTCATAGCTAATATAGCTAATACAGCAAAAATTGCTAATACAGTTAATATAGTTAATATACTTAATCTAGTTAGTCTAGTTAATCTAGGTAATGTATGAGTACAACAATATAGTACTGTAGTATTATGGTACTAGAGAAATAGAGTACTAGAGTATTATAGCTATTTTGTAATATAGTAATATAGTAGTATAGTAGCAGAGTAATGTAGTTGGTCCTTCTAGCAATCTATAGACGGTTGTTTATGGGGTTCACTTCAGGGTAACCATGACGGCTAAACTTACAACGAAGCCTGAATTCTCGCATTCCGGACACGATGAGTTTTCTGACACATTTATAAAAATCACACAAACGAATCAATAAGCGATTGCCATCACCAAACCCCCGAGCAACCATCCTTAAACGCTTTCGGATGTCATGTAAAGAGGCCTACGTCCCGCAAGCCCCCAACTCCAAATCCCTACATCCTGGGACCTAGAATCCTAAACCCGGAGATCCTATATCTGAAGTCCTAGGCCCCAACAAAAACCCTAAACCCTAAACCGCCCCTAACATAAAGATCCCAGAAGGAAATGATCCGCAGCCGCGATGCGGCGGAGGCGCAAGCCGAGTCAACGCGGAGGCTTCACCACGGCGGTTTCACTTTGAGGGTTCAGGCTTGAGGGATCTTTTTTGAAGGGGTTTGCATAACAAGGGTAATGCAGTTTAAAAGTCGTCACCTTATTTAGGTGTTTCTTAACTTCGGGGTACCTTAGTTTGGGTCCCTGATAGTAAGGATCCTGCCATTTGGGTTTTACGTTTGGGTCCCCTGTTTTCTGAAAGTTTCATATGCAATAAAGACAGTTTCCCGCGTGTGGGGCTTTAGCTTACCGGTCGTTGGCCGAAATCCTAAGGAAGGGCTTTGAGATCCTAAATGAGGCGTAAGGATATTCAGGGTCTGCGAAGACAAGTGTCACAGGCTTCCGGGTCGCCGTCTCAGGTCTGCAACACATTCCCCTTATTCCCAAAGCTTCAAGGTCAGATCGAAACTCCTAAGCCCCTGGGCCCCTCGGAGGCAAGAGGTGCGTGCAGAAGCACTTTGACGGGCTCGTGGTTCAGGCTTTAGAGTCCAATATGGGAGCCTTAATAACTACCCATGTGCAAATTAGGATTACAATATGTTATATGTCAGTTTTATGTCATATATCAAGGTATTTGAGTTTCTGTAGACAACCTCATACTATATATACCTATATATAGTCTATATTAGATTGTATTATACGACATGTTATATGTTTTATTTTACTATATGGTAGCTTATATATATATATATATATCATGTTGTATCGTTTTGGGTTTTATAGTATGGTCTGATATGATATGTTCTATGTGATATTACATCACATCATGTCATGTTTATACTTTATACATAATATATATCTCTATAGATCTTCTAGGTTCTATACTATACTACACTGCCATCTTCCAGGTCTCTCGACGAAGCGTTGGAGAGAGGTGAGGAGCTGGAGAAGAAGTGTCGGGGGCCCGAATCATCGAAGTGGGAGTTTCCCAAATTTAGGGGTCCCTTATTCTGCGGCCCTTATAATAAGGATCCTACTATTTAGGGTACTATATTTGGGTCCCCTCTTTTCGGAAACTTCCAAGTATGTCCGGTTTAAGGTCTAGGGTTTTAGCGGTTTAATCATCATACCCTGATGCGGAAACTGTAGGAACCTCCAAGAACCGGTTTGGGTGGATCTTCGGATCTTTTGCGGCACTAGGCGTTGTCTTTGTAAACGAGCGCAGCCCAACATCCAAAGTCCCAAACAAGGTTTATACTGGTGTATTGGGTCGCATGCTCCTCCATGCGGTTCATCCTCAGAGGCCATGTCCTCGCAGGCTCTATATGAGTAGAGTTAGATTCCTTAGGGTCCCATTATCATATAACCTAACTAGTTACAGCAGTAAATCGGAAGGCCCAGATTGCTATGGCCCAGAATCCCTAAACCCTTTATTCCCTAAACCCTAAACCCTTTATTCCCTGAACCCTAAACCCTAAACCCTTGATTCGTCCCTTCTTTCGACGACCGCCGCCCCTTTCAGGTCTTGACCGCGCAGAGAAGCTCGAGCAGATGAGGCGGGTCCCAATGGTTGATTCCTGCCCAAGGAATATTCGATAATTCCCGGTGTTTAGGGTCCTTAAGGTAATGCAGGATTTATATCATCAACAGAAGAACAGACTCCAAATGCGAGGTTTTCTAGGGTGTACTAGTCTGAAAAGGGTACTGACCATACTAGAATCTAGAAGGCGTCTATGTAAGGATAGGGTTTTTGGGAGATGCTAGCCTATACCGTACTTTACTATACTATGCTAGACTATATACTATACTATACTTTAACTTGCCAGCTTCGGCCTCCCATAGGTGATCCAAGGAGATTTCTATGCTCAGTGTTACGACTTCTGGTCTCTGTTCTCCCATGGGTACAAGAAGCATGGGAGGGCTTCAGTGCACAATTCAAGTGGCGTTGCGGACTCTAGGTTCAGCTTTGGGCTCCTAAGTGCTGTTGGATCGCGGCCTGTTCTGCCGGTTCTGCCATTTCGATGAAGCACTCCTCTTGTCAGCATTGCATACAAGCCTGCATGAGAGTTTGGAGTTTCGTATCAGGACCCATCCCGCGGTGGTGCCAAGAGTGGCAGTCGAACGTTGGAAAACTATCAGAGGTTGAATATGCCTTAGCCCGAAATCGTGAACCCTTCACCTTGAGCTGCAAAACCAAAGCCTGAACCCAAAGCGCTGATTCGATGGAGTCCTAGGGCTTCGACCCCAAACTTTGAATTTAAAGCTCGCAACCATAATTCCATACACCCTAAACCCTAAACCCTAAACCCCAAACCCTAAACCGAATGTTGCAGACAGAGTGGGGCAAGGGCCACTTGCAGAAAGAACTCGCTCCTGGGACCCTGCATGGCCCTTTTATCTGCGTGCGTGTACTTATATCCATCGATCTATAAATCTATGTATGTATCTATCTATCTACCTGTTCGTCTGTGTATCTACATATGCATATACATATACGAAGATGTTTATGTGTGTGTACCAACATATATGCATGTCTACACAGACATGTATCCTTTTGTGCATGTGCTGGCTGCATGCACATCTTGATGGACATACTCCCACTCCATGCTCCCTACACCCTCCTCCCCAGACCCTAAACCCTAAACCCTAAATCCTAAATCCGGCATCAGGAAGATCATGGACGAGCAGGAGCTTCGCGCTCAGCCGCAACGAGGCATTCTTTCGGAGATATGCTTCGGGGCAGCGGGGTTCTTGCACTTTTTGGCCGCTCTCCGAAAAAGCAATAGGCATCCTTTAATATGATAAGTGTCTGATAAAGATAATCGGATCGGTTACGGAGACTTGTCCAGGCACTCTGCCTTCGATTACGGTAGGGTTTTCCTTTCCAAAGAGAGGCTCGTTGGTTAAGGACATGTGAAGTTTCTGGTGAGTGAGCTAGAATCTGCTGGAGTGAGGTGCATCTCTTTGTTCTGATTCCTCCTATTACTTCTACTAGTTCTCCTTCTTCTGCTGTTGCTCTGCTGCTACTTCTGCTTCTACCACTACCACTAGCACTACCACTACTACTACGACTACGACGACGACTACTCCATCAGCAACTACTGCAGCCACTGGTATATTATATTGCTTGTGGTGTTGTTGCTCTCTCTCTCTCTCTCTCCTCCTCCTTCTCCTTCTCCTCCTCCTACAGTTGTTGTTGTTGTTCTTGCAGCTGTAACGGCTGCTGCTAACGGTTCCAAACACGACAGTTACCAATTCTCATCGCAATCCTTTCAGACTCAGAGTTGTTCATGACCAGCTCTAAAATCCAAGCCAATTCGAGTTGCCTAGGCTGGAAATGAGCCAGAAGATCGAGCGCGTGCCCTCGAGCATCACGCGCAGCAGGTGTCAGGTTATGTAAGACTCTGCAGAGTCCGGCTGTGTGAACAGGGCTGAGACTGAGGGTGTATGGATCAGGTTTTGGGATTTAATGTTGAAGATATAGAGCTGATGGCTCAGATTCCAGGGGTTCAGTTTTGATATCATGAGTACTGCCGTTCAATAGCGGGGTCGGTTTCGCTGTTTTGCGTTTGTTGTTAATGCCCACTCTCCTCTTGACAGCTGTCGCAGTGCCTGACCTCGCCCCACTGACCTTGTCAGAACCATAGCGGCATAGCGATGGTAACCACTGGCAGTCGCAGCCCCACTGCGCGCCAGACACCGTGTTGCTCGTCGTGCGATTTTTCAGGTACAGCAGTATGTGAAAGAGCGTCAGACCACTGCCATCATGGCGGAGAAGAAGCAGCAGGTGACGGGCATATCAGTTTGGCATGTTGCGGAGGGCATGAGTTATTGTAGCTTTTCCCGTGGCGAAGAAGATTAAAGGGTACTGGTATGTATTTACTGTTTCGTACCTGTGTCTAGTGTTGCCGGAAGCCAAGGCCCCAATAGTTTATGAGGGCGTGAGTAGGATGTTGATGAGAACCACTGCACGGCATTAGGCGCTACAGACTTGAACCCCATAGCCTGAACTCCAGATTTGAAGATCGTCCAGACAGGGACGAGGGTGACAAGTTGGGGCACGGTGTGCAGGCGATCCCGAAACAGGCGCCCATGATGAAACGATTAGCCCGTTTGAGCCGGCCTCCACCGAAGCCGGGGGTTCGAAGCAGAGGCTTTGCGTGCGAAGTATGTACCAGATTGCAGCATGCTCATGGACCCACCTGGGCTCCCCGGAAGACAAGTACGAGTGCTGCTGGAGGGAGTAGGTATAGTGGCATAGTTGTAACGTGGTACAGCGGTATGCAGGAAAGTGATAGTCAAGCTTGCCAGGACGCAGAGAAGATGGCCGAGCGATGGCAGAATGAGGTTCGTCGCTGCCAGGTGGGGCACCGGTGCTGCAGACTGTGGTTTGACATTCTCTTTTCTCTTACTTGGGCGGCAGAAGGACTTTGGTCTCGCAGGGCTCGTGCGACTCTAAGTTTCAGCTGGAACGAGGCTTTGCTTGTCTAGGGTTTGGAGTTTGGGGTTCAGGGCCCTTCTTGAAAAAATGACTACACGCAATCAGTCCAAACCTGTCTGACAATTCAGTGTGTCGAGTTCGGGGTACTGTGGGGGTTGAGGGAAGAAAGCCTGAACATACAACCCCCCAAATAACTCTGCAAACCCTTAAACCCAAATCTCTTTCGAGTTCGCCCGAAGGGTTTCCCGGCGGTCGGTTCTACAGGAGGCTCTGAAGACGTTTCGTCTTGAGATCGGACGCTGGAATACCCTAAACCCTAAACCCCCTAACCTTGAACCCTGCAGGCCCTCAATCTTGAACCCCTAGACCTTCAACCTTTAACCCTAAACGCCCTGAGCCCTAGGCCCTAATAGGCCCTAAGTACGAAGCCACGAAGATCCCACGTCAGAAAACCAGCGACCCCCCTTGCGCCGGCAGGGGAAGCCTAAAGACTTCAGGGCTAAATCGAGCTTATTTGTAGAATCGCGGCTGAGGCTCCAGGCCCTAAGAAGTCCTGTACCCAGAGGCTCCAAAACCCCTTCTTTGAGGAATATACTTTAAATCATTATCGGAACCCAAATATGATTCAAGGTATATTCCTGAATGAAGGGGTATTGGAGTCTCTGGGTACCAGGATCTTCGAGTTTCGGATTTTCGGCTGGCGGTTGGAGGCAGAGAAGGAACGCCTGGCCGCAGCAGTCCTCGACATGGAAGGCCTTCGTCCGCTTCTGTTTGGGATTTGAGTGGTTGTCAGAATGATGGTCCCTTTTTGGGTCCCTAACATAATACGGCACCTAATATTTAGGGTACCCAAAAAGGGGCCTTAATTTTGACAACTACCCATTTGAGGCGTCGGGCGCACTTCGGTTTGGAACGCTATCCTAAGATTCGGAGCCTGGGCTTGCCAGCCTCCGCTATGTTTCGGTGGCAGTCTGAACTACGATAACATGAAGCCTGAGCAATGAATACGAACTTTCTTCCTTCGGGTTTTTAACATACCCATTGCAAGCCCCTACATTAGCTTGTTGGGGGTTTGGAGTTGGCCTCCCATCAAGCCAGGTTCTCAGGTATCCAGCTTCTTCCCATGAGCGCACGCCAGGAATCGCTGGTTTAGGCTTTGTGCCTTTCGCCAGGATTTCAGGGTGTCGCACTTGAAGGAAGCCTGTGTGCTATAGAAGCCTGAATAGCTACATGGCTATAGGCTATATGCCAATTACATTTTTCGCGGCTCGTTTTTAGGCTTGTACTATAAGATGCCTTTCCAAAGCTCCTGTAGTGAACTACATCTGGACGTCCCAGAACCAGAGGCCAAAAGCTCCTCAGCTACTGCACAACATCAGAGCCTGCAATGCTTTGTGTCTTTCCTCTAAACCGAATAGACGGATAAGGGGCCCCATTAGGGTAGGTACTACAAGAAACGCCCAGATTCTCGACCGAACCCTGAAACCTGATCTCTGAAACCCCCCTAAGCCCCAAATTACGTAGATGTTCTACGTTCTGCTGTAGATCGTCTCGGTCCCTGAACTCTCAACCGTCCCTAAGCCTCTTTAAGGCAGCTTCCCTGAGGCCGGCAAAGCGGGCAGGCCCAGCAGATGCAAGGAGCCGTGGACCAACACCGCCGACAGGCGGTTTTTTGTTCCTTCGAGGGTTCTACACTCTACAAGGCGCCAATGAGTCCATAAGGCTTCTAGAAGGCTTCCAGAAGGATCTAGGGCTAAGGTTTGAGGGCTTCAGGAGCCGGGGATTGGGGGCTGAGGGTCCATGATTATCCTGTAGCGAGCTTTTGAGGTTTGGACTCTACACTTCGGCTTCAAGGGCTTTGTTCAAGCTTTGGTGTTTAGGGTTTCATGGCTTTAGGGTGGCAGGTAGCTCCTTCGGTATAGCTGCCTGCAGTGTCTGGTAACTTACGTATGTGTTTGTTTCATATAGGTATAGTAAAGGGTCTGCGTGAATCTGAACTCGCGAACCCTAAAGCCTGAATCCTCAACCCCAAACCCTGAGCTCCAAAACCTTGAACAAATGGCTACGGCTCAAGCTGTTGTGCTCGAGGGCTTTGCCCGTGACTGGTTCAGTTCCCCTGTCCTTCCGCCTCTCGCCGCTCCTTTGGTGCTCCTGTACCCACTGTACTCGCTCCTGGTAACGATCCCGGGGTGCCTCTCTTACCTGATTCACCGCAAGGCTGTCGCTGGGATCCTTTGCTGCTGGGTGAGTTCTACCTTCGCGAGTGCTACCACATCGAGTGAGGGAAAAGGTCCTTGCTGCAGGGGAGAGATCTACCTTCGCGAGTGCTACTACATCGGGTGGGGAAAAGGCAACTTTGTGACCCTGCACATCGTTGTCTCCTCCCTGGCCGTGATCTGCAGTGTTGCTGAAGGGTGAGTTCTACCTCTGCGGATCGGTGAGTTCTACCTGATCGTCTCCTTCCTGGACGTTGTGGTCACATCTTCTTCTACGTGTACGACGGCAACATCCTCATCCTCTTCCTTTTCTACTTTTTCTACTTCTTCGATGACGGACAACCAGGATACACAGATCGCATCGCGAAGCTCAGGAATGCAAGTTGATGAGGAGGCCGTCAAGCGAGAGGAGGATGATCGTGGCATTTTCACTGTGGGGTCTCCCACTGAAATCGCAGATGAGGCTTCGGAACCCGAAGGTGGCGCGGGTGACTTTGACGTCGACATGCCTGTGAAGCTCGAGAAAAGAAAACGAGGGGAACGTGTTGCTTCTGGTGATAGTGCTGCTAATGCTCTCCCCATACCTGATTCCGATGACGACGAGTTCGACAGTCCCACCAAACGTCCTTTGCGTGGGGAAGAAAAGCCGCTCACAGCAAGTGAAATTCGGGAGCTTTTGTTTGGGCACGTTCGTGAAATGAAGACAGCCTGGACATCGTTTCAAGGGAGGCTCGATTCCGTTGAACGTGAGCAGGCCAAAAGCTCTTTTGAAGTAAACAACCTCCAGACGAGAACCCGAGTCCTCGAGAAAGATTTCGGTCAGCAAAAACAGGCAGTGCAATCCCACTCAAAGGCCCTTGAGAATCTCACGCTGGAGGTCAAGAACATGCAGGTCAAAATGGACGATCTTGTGGCCAAGGGAGGAGTTGCTTCGGGGGCTTCGGTTGTTCCTCCTGCTGTCGGACCAGGCATTGATCCGTGGGGTGAATATCTCAGACGCCAGAATGAACCCGGCTCTACCGTTCCTGAAGGCAAGACTGTGCCCAAGTCCTCTGTGGGTGGTCCTGCCGATGACCGGGGTGACTTCCTCTCTGAAGAAGACAAGCGGACCCTTGTTATTGGAGGATGGCTTCAAGATACCAAACGTGGGGTGATTGAGGAGGAGTCCCTGGTCGTTCTTGGAGTTCCTGAGATCAAAGAGCTCATTGACAATGAACGTCTTCAAATTTTCGGGCCGAGAAGATCTGTTGGCCTTCTGCGTTTTACCACTCGTGAGGGTGAATCCTATCAACAGACCAAGAACAGAATGTGGGAAGTCATCAAGACCATCAGCAAGATCAAACATGTTCTGCCCAGCACCCGACCTTCTGGGGAGGAGAAGACCCTCTGGGCTGCATTTGTGAAAACTAAGAATGCCCGCACAAGAAGTACGCACGTGAGCATGGTGAGAAGAGTTGCAATCACCCTCGCCAAGGACAACGAGACTGGCAATGTCGGGGTGAACTCAATGATTGGGGCATATGACTGTGACTGGAACATGGGGACGATCTGGTCCGGTAGTGAAAAGCTCGCCAGCAGCACCCACAAGCAGCCACGGGGTGACGATCAGATCGTAGTTATGACTGGAGGCTGGGTGAATATCTCAGCAGTCGCAAGAATAGCGGGATGTTCCTCTGATGATGCCAGGGGTGCATTCGAACGTGAACTATGAGGCACTGATGCAGCTTGTTTCACACCCGATGGGTTGAATTCAGATCCTCGTCCAGGTGATCTTCTTGCTTGTCCAAAGGATCGTGAGAAAGTCGCTCCTTGTCCGCGTGAAAGATGCAGATGGGGGAGAGTATGCACCTGGAATCTGGGAGGACAGTCTGCTGGTCTGTTGGATGTTGCCTGTAAAGACTGCAACGTTCTTCTCGTTCAAGAACTCGCACGCGCGGAACCAGGTTGGTCAAATTTCGACACAGAAGAATTTCATTGGGTGACACATCGAGATCCTCGTCACTGGCGTGGAGTTGGAGTTGGTATCGCCTTGGATAAGTTCGACTCTGTCCTATGGAAGACCGCTTCGGAGAGAGGGCTTTGGGTTGTTGCACGTGTCCATGGCCTGGGTCGTATCGTTCTAGGCTCTGTGCACTGCCATACTGGTGTGACCACCTCAACATATCAAGCCGCGGCACAGGAGTTTGCCAAAATGTGCCCTCGCAAGTTTCGTCATCTTCCCGTCCTCTGTGGTGCCGATGCCAATGAAACCCCTGTGTGGTTAGAAGGTGATCAAGGACAGCTTGAAATCGGCACTTGCAGTTCCAACCTTAATGCATTGCTGCATGAAATGCTACAACACGGTGTTCATCCTGTTGCTCCTGTGCCTGAACATCGACACACTCCTACCCACTTTCCTCGTGATTCCAGTCGCAGCGGACGCCAGATCGACATGCTCTTCACCAGACAGCTTTGGATCCGTCCTACTCAGATTGATCCTGATCGGCGTCACGTTATTGGCTCAGACCACGGCATTGTCATGGGTGACATTGAGGTTAGTGGTGCACCAGGTAGAACTCTTTGGGGCAATGACTCTAGAGCAAGATGGGTGTCGTGTCAACTTCCGGAGACGACCATTGTTGATGAGGATGATCTGATCCACCTCGCCAGAACTTGCACCAGACCGAGGACATCACGAAAGTTTCAAGATAGTCAAGACGTCAAGAATGCCATTAAGACGGCTAGAACATCCCATCAAGCTGCTGATTGGAAGCGAGTCCATCGCCTTCGCAAATATGAGCGCCGTGAGTGGAGTCAGGAACGACTGTCTCGGATTCTCAAGGGGGAATGGGATGAATATCGTCAGTTGCAGAATGATAAGAAACGATGCCGAGGCTGGTGGGGTGAAATGCTTGCTGAGTGTGGAGCGGGGGATCTTGCAGCTAGGATCACGACTCACCTTGAAGAGAAGATGATGAACACCGAGAAGTCACCCGAGGATTGGGAACATGAACTTGCTGGCCTGATCCAAGCCTCAGTTGAACATGACACCTTTCAGCCCTTCTCTCTGCTCGACGTACGCACTGAATTGCACGGGATGAAGTGTAAAAGCGCAGTTGGGCCTGATGGCATCGGGGTACATCTTCTCCGCGCGATCGCCAGTGATGATCACCTGGGGCCCCAACTCCTGGAGCTCATCAACCATATCGTGGAAAGTCGTGAACTTCCGTTCAGTTGGGAGAAAAGCTTCCTGGCGCTCTTGGCCAAATGTAAGCATCCCCGTGTTCCTGGTGATCTCAGACCTATCTGTGTATCGTCCGCATTTCACAAACTGGTCAACAGGTTGGTATGCTCTCGAGCCCTACCACTGATGCGCCGTGGATCCAAGATCAGCTGCTGTGGGAAAGGCCGACAAGCGGCAGATCTCATCGGGGCGATCTCTCGGATGCGAGACATTACCAAAGAATGGCGACATCCTCTCATCATCTGCAAACTGGATGTGGCGGGTGCTTTTGATCGGATTGATCGAGCCAAAGTCGCTGATCTCATTCGTTCGCGGCTTCGTGGTAAAGGGGTGAGTTTTGAGGTACGCTATCTCCTTGCACAGCTTGCGACGCATGAGCTTGTTGGCCTCGCACCTGGAGGTAAACAAGTGCGTCTCCGCCCTGACAATGGGATTAAACAAGGAGCGCCCGAGAGCGCAGAATTGTTTGGTCTCGTCACGGATGCCCTCCTTTCAGAACTTGTTCATTGTCAGCATTGGGAAAGTCTGGGATGTCCTTTTGATGGGGTCGACATTGATCTTCTCTTCTATCAGGACGATGTCTTCTTGCTTGAGACAAACTTCGCTCGACTGTGCAAACGCATCACTGTTGTAGACCGCTGCTTGCGTGGAGCGGGGCTCACCCTTGCCAAGAACAAGACAAAGATCATTGCCAACGAGCACTACAGTGGCTGCCGGAGGGCACGGGTCGGTGACGACGTCTATGAGATCTCTGAGAGGGGTGAAAATATCAAGGTACTTGGACTCTCGTTTTCACTTGCACATGATGCCTCGGAACAGGCTCGCGAAATCATTGGGAGAACCAGGGATGCTGCAGCGGCTCATAAAGACATTCTCCGAGCACCCGGGGCTTGGCAGCATAAGATCTCGATCATGCGCACGCTCCTGGAAGCCCAATTTGCATGGACCGGGGGTGCTTTGCATTGGAGCAAAGATGACCTGCACACTCTAAATGTCTTGCAGCTCCACACCTGCAGGGCCGCTTTCGGACTACGTCGTGCTGCTAGAGAGTCGTGGCTTCAATGGAATCAGCGAAGCATGCGCTTCGTCCGTGTCTGGCTTCATCGTAACTGTGTCGCCAGGTGGTCTGATCGGATACTTACTCTCCAACACACCCTTCATGGCCATTGGGCACGTAGGGTTGAAGTTGTCCGTGGAAGAGCTCGAGCGTGCGCACCGATGAGGGTGATTTGCTGGAGGAATACTGCCTGGTGGAGAGAACAACAGGCTCTCAGCCGGTCGGTCTCGATGCGTCACCCAGGGCAATTCTATGCCTCAAACACAGAACGCCAACTCGCTCACAGTCATGGGGTGTGCTGGCATGTTGCTGCCCAAGACCGTGTCGCCTGGAGCAGTGCCCGAGTAAAATATCTCCAAGACTGGGATGTGAAGTGGTGCTCGGGACGTCAACTCTCGATTCGTTGCTAGTGGGTGACCTTGTCTCGTTGCCTGAAATAATGAAACCTCTTGCTGGGAGGCTGAAGACTCAGGTGCAGGACTTTGTGCACTCCCTCGTTTGTGACACGCATGATTTCCGCCTCGACATATCAGAATACTGATGCCCTCTTTGGGGGTGTGCCTTGTGTCAGACTTCCTGCCTTCATGACTGAGAAGCACGATATCCAGTTGAACTTGTGCATGCTTGAATTTGACTTGACTGCCTTCGCTGCGTTGGGCTCAGAATCGGAACCTCTCGTTTTGGATCCTCCGTGTCTCTACTTTCTTTGTGATGGTGGCTCTCCTCGCTGGGATGTTGTTCTACATGGTCGGCTTCCTGTTCTGTGACGCGATGCATGGACGAGAACGGCAACCTGGAGACTGCGATCCCCGCCTTCGCTCGTGGACACGCGAAGAGATTGCTGAGCACATGCAAGCTGTCTGGGAAGAAACGACTCTGGAAACCCTCCCTGTTCCTCACAATGACGTATGGGAAAACGTGGTTGGAGAGGGACCTTCTGGCATGTCGCCGGTTGGCTCGACTCCTCCTCAGCAGAGTTTGGAGCCCACATCTTCATCGTCTTCTTCGTGGCAGACCTCGACCATGGTGGCTCCGTCTTCATCCTCATGGCCGACGTCCTCGTCATCGTCCTCTAGAACGGCATCCTCGTCATCGGTGCCTACGATTGGGATCGACGAAGAGATCAGCTGGGCTGTACACCATGGGCTCGACGTCTGGGATGACAAGGTGGATGAAATTGCTGGTCTGGCACCAATTCCAGAAGAACTGCCGCTACCCTTCTCCCCTCCTGAAGATGGCCTGGATGCTCCTCCTGAAGTCGGCGGCAGTTCAGCCAGCTCCCAACATGATTGGCTACTACTTGTACGTGACACCAGGTCCCTGCGAGGAAGGAACAGTGCCCATGCTGCTGACCATGCACCTGTCCCTCCGGGTCGTGACCCTGCCTCCCTCCTCGTTGGGCCCCCTCCTGTCGGCATTTTGCATCGACCTTCTCCCACCTCCTCTTTGGCAGCGGCCAGGCATGAGAGAAACTTGCCCGAAGACTGTGAACCACGTCATGACGACACCGTGGAAGCAGGGGTGAACACGCGGACTACCTCCAATGACACGCCGGATGGGATGACCTCGCGCTTTGGAAAGTCTCGTCCCGGAGTTGATCGCTGGCATCACCCGAATGGGTCCGTCAGAAATCGTGCTCGAGAAAGACGTGAACTAGCGGAGACTCATGCTACCGAGGAGACGCCCTCATCTTCGTCTTCTACACCTTTCACGATCACAGGTGCGGGGTGCCACAACGGAGAACACACGATCCAGGCCACCAGTTTCTATGGCGATCGGTTTCAAGTCTGGGCTGATAAAGGTGTACTTGAAAATTGTACATCCACCACTGCCGGGCCTGATAGCACTGATGCTGATGCCAATTGCTCCAGCCATGAGTCGAGTTCTGGACAAGATGCTCAGGTTGGTTTCTGGCGCCACGGTGTCTGGGTTGACAGATGCAGAACACCTGCTGAGCAGCGCAGTCATCGAGGCGGTCTTGGACCTCAACGCCAAGCACGCAAACAACGACGAATGCAGGACTATATGGAGGGCAACTGGCGTCCCGCCTGGTTAACGCGCTATATACAAGACAAGAACGCCCGCCAAAGTCGTCCAGTTCCTGCAGAGGAAGCACATTTGGCTGGAGGGAAGGACAAGCCACTTATCGACCCCAAGACCATGGCCGCTTTCCTCGGACACGTGGAGCCGAACGTGTCGAGAAGTACCGATGTGGAACAAAGCCAGGTACCGACGTCCAACAACCTGGCCTCTGATTGGGACCCCTGGTCTGGACAACAGTGGCACACACAATGGTGGGACAACTGGGGTGATGCAGAGGCTGCGTCAAGTTGGTCCACTTGGTCAAACTGGAGGGATGATGGTTGGGTGGATACCTGGTCAACATGGAGTAGCTCCTCTTGGGATGAATCGTGGACTACCTCTTCGAGCACCACCTTGGTATGGAGAAGATCAACATTGGAGTCAATCGAGTGGGATGAGTCGTCGACTACTTCTTCCAGCGCAACTTCGACGTGGTTTTGGGATGGTATGTGGAACAATTCTTTAAGTACAACGTCATCTTCGACCTCCCCGAACTTGCCCAACTTTGGCCTTGAACCTGAAGTACGTGATGCTCCAGTGGACCATGTATTCCTTATGCAGATGACAGGAGCCGAACGTGCCACTCTTCAGGAAGCAGGGGTGAGCTCCCAGGGCATCGCGCAGTTGGAGCAATTTCTGCAGACTCTCGACGCACACAATGATGCTGACAGAGGACCTGAAGCACGTTGGGCTGTGGGTCGGCTCCTCCAAAGAATTGAAGACGGGATGGAAACCATTGAGGTTGTCTACCGCATCTTGGCTCGCCGACTCGTGCCGCAAGGTTTCTTACCCCTACAGCGTGTCCCAGCTGCTGAAACTCTTCGTCTGCAGCTCTTTAATTGGGCACGGAACCTTGCGGATGTACTGGTGGTCTGCCTGGAACGTCACCTACGAACTGGATTACAAGCTGGAGAAAGTGCCACTGGACCTAATCTTGTCTTAGTTGATTCCCCTCCACGCACAGTCCGGGTTGAGCCGAGTGTTGGCACAAGGCGATCAACATCATCACGGGAACGGTCCAGGAGTCGTGATCGTGGAATCTCCCCGGCATCATGCTCTGGAGCATCGTCGAGTCACGAGGTCCCGTCCATGAACAGTGAATATGCATTGGATGAACATGGGGAAATGGTTCACATTCCTCTCGCGGACCCGAGTGAACCTCCCCGTGGACCACCTCCTCCTGTCCCAGTTAATCGCCCAGGGCCTGTTCGTGAAGAGGCCCCAGTACCGGTACATGGCAGTGTTGCTCAAGCCCTACAAGGTGAACTGCTCGGAATTTGGACAGAGAACTCAGGGTCGACATCCTCGTCAACCACTTCGTCAACCACTTTGTACACCACGTACACCCTGTCGTGTACTACACTGACTGTAACTGGTGACGAACAGCTTGGGGCGACCTCGGAACTCCTGACCCCCTTGGTTGAGGATGATTTGCCTGTGGATGCATACTCGTTTGTCCAGTTGCATACCAGTGAGACACTGTCTTCCAGTACCTCGACTACCAGTACAACCAGCACTCTATCGCCTGAGACTGTGGTCCGCGATGCGGTAAACCGAGAGTTGGTGTACGCGAATGTGGCTGACATTGTCGATCTTCTGCACCGCCTCCAATCTCGACAGAGACGACTCCTCCACCTCGCTCGACTTGTTGGAATTGCCATTGAAGAAACCCTTGGTTGGATGCCAATGCCAGAGCACTCCTTGGCGCTAAACAGTCGTACTATGGATGGAACTTTGTGGGGATGTATTCAACGTGAAGCTGCCTTCGGAATGCGAGCATCTACCAGCGGAACAACACAGGTATCTTTGGCAGCAGCTGCTCTACTACAACCGGGATTCCCTGGAAATGTGGAGGGGCTTCTTAACTCACTACCTCAACTTGATGCACCTACAGTGGCGGGTTTGCGACGTCGTTCTTGGCGAAGGCATGCTCATGCTCTGTATACTGCTGAAGAACGAGAGATTCCGGAAGGAAGCTGGCCTGCGGAGGACAACCAGACATTGTATCTCATACAGGCGAATGAGAGCACAACCGCGGGCCAGTTTGCTGGACATGATGAACTCCCTCAAATTCCAAACCGGCGACTACCTTGCAACCGTCGACGTGCACATGTACCTCGACCACCAGTGCGAGTCTTGCAGTCTGGCACTTTGGGAGACCTTGTTGATGCTGTTCCTGCACATGCACGCCATCAACGCCGCCGCCGACATGGTTGCACGAGAACACCACGAGCTTACATCTCCCGTGAGAGAAGTCGCAGTCGCAATACGACAACCCCTCCTGGCGCATCGGGTGCTTTGTCTAGCATGCAGACGTCATCGGGAGGATTGTCTACTGGTCACAATGAGGCTCACAATGATGGCTCTGGACTACTTCCTGCTCATCCTCTGCCTCCTGGAGCCCCTGATGGACATCCACATCCTCGTGTTGACGAAGTTCGAGCTGCCCGCGAAGATCGTGCTCCTCCTGTTTTTTCCCATCGACGACGTGGTCTTGAAGTGGTCGACTAACTCTTTGATGATCTACACTGAAGCTATGATGTCTGATGTGAAGGTCATGGTTGGGGGTTGGTGTTGTCCTGAGTCCATCACGTGAGGCCGTCAAGCTTTATTTTGGATCCGTAAGTGATCCGAACCTAGTGTAGGCCAGAAACTGGCCGGACCTTCTGCAGAAAAAGGCCCCATTGCACTTTAAAAAAAAAAAAAACCCCAAAACCCTAATCCCCCAAACCCCAAATCCCAACGCGCCATGCTATACTATACTATACCATACTATACTGTATTTTACTATACTATACTATACTCTCATACTGTACTTTAATACTGTACTTCAATATAACATCATATACTATAATAGAATAGAGCATAATGTACAAAACTATGATGTTTAATGCACCGTAAAAAAGAATAACCTAAGAACATTTAATCTATTGTTTGTTTCGTTTTGTCGGAGGTCACCGCCCTCGAGGATGCACTGCGAAGGAGATCCGGGGATCGGCTGGGGGTTCGGCATTTTGGGGTATAGGGTTCCCAGAGACTCCAATACCCCTTAATTAAGGAATATACCTTAAATTATAGTAGGATCCTTAATATGATTTAAGGAATATTCCTTAATTAAGGGGTATTGGAGTCTCTGGGTTCAGCATGTGCGGTTTAGGGTTTGGCATTTTGGGTACAGGGTTCAGCATGTGGGGTTTCGGGTTTAGAATTCGGCTGATGGGTTGAGGTGAGTTCGATTTTAAGCAGGCTTCAGGAGTGTGGCAACGCATATGAGGTCGGAGTCTAATTTCTTTCGTGTCGAAGGCTTCAGCCATGAGCCTGGTGCTGAGCAGAGGGGCAAAACCCTAAACCCAAAACCCAAAACCCTAAACCCTAAACAGTAAACCCAAAACCCTGAACCTTAAACCCTAGAGGTCGTCACCTAAACGAAGCACCTGGAACCCCAGGCTTCTCAGTGGGTCTCGGTTGTCAGGAATGTAGGAACCTGATTAAGAAACGATCGGCCTATGATCCCAAAGTAGTAGGGTTCATATGAGGAGCCCTAAGAAAGGCCCAAGGTTTCGTTGTCAGGTGCCTACACTATAATCGTACCCTTATAGATCCCTTATAGTAACCCCTATAGACCCCTTTAATTTCGTAATCAGGTTCCTACATTACGGAGATTCCTTGCAGCCGCATGGGGCTCCAGATCCGAACCGGAGTCTGATTTAGGGTTGAGATCTCCGAATCTGATGTAGCATCATCAGCATTATTCTTTCGAGTTCCTTAATACTATAGTTATACTACTTACAACATACCATAAACCCCTATTCTACAGTAAACCCCTACAGAACTGCTGTAATCCTACATTGAGACTACGAGGATAAACCGGAAACCTTCTTCTGACTATCAAGGCGCCTGTAGTAAGCCCGGCCCAGCTCCGGAATGCCGGGGCACATAAAGGCACCTCCTTCGATTCCAGGCATGACAAGAAGAAAAGGAAAAAGACCTACTATACACAGTCCAGCACAGGGTTTTGTGAGAGTCTAAATACAGTGCTATCAGGGTTCTACAGAAGGCTCTGTCAGAGTTCTAAACGGAGTTGTGCAAGGGTTCTACATGGGGTTCTGTACGAGTTCCAAGATTTTAAACAGAGGTACAAGTCTACGTCCAGTAGACGTCCATGTGAAGAATCTGCTGTTGTTCTCGGAGACCTTGACTGAAAAACCCTTCCAGGACCCTCTGGACTCCACATAGAACCCGTCAGCTCCTAATCCCTGAACCTTAACCACAAGTCCGTGAGAGGAAAGAGGACCAGATGAGAGAGCAGAATTTGGAGCTGCTGTCGCGTCGGGACGAGGAAGGGACCAGATGGATGTGGGAGTTTACGTATCTTAACCTTAATCCCAGAAAGGGACCTGAGTTTTGACAACCACCCAGATGGAGTTTTGGACAAGGAAAAAAGAGCGGCTGGTCAGTGCGATTGTAGCGTAGCGAGCAGGGGCAGGATTCACATATCACGCCTGTAGCCGAAACGACCTATCTTGTTGGGGTTTCCTTATGGTGGTTTCTATGTATCGTTCCTTAGAAAGGTAGGTCTTTTGGGCCACAGGTATATCTTATGTTACATCAGGTTTCTTTGTGTTGTTCGGGTTTGCTGAATTATGTAGATGGCAGTCTTCAGCTTCTCCCATGGGTGTCTTCGGCTTTCCGAATGTCTATTGCAAAATGATCTTCAAAGCAGCAAGTCAAAGTGAGACTTCTGAGATGCAGCGCCGCAACAAAAGGGGCTTTTATAATCACCGACACTATATTGGGGTCCATTATTGTAAGTATAGTAGAATTGGCCCCGAATCCCTATTCTAGTCATTATGGCCCCTATATTAAATCCTAAACCCCTAGACCTTGGCAGTGGAAAAAGGCGCTCAAAAACTGTCTGGTTCTTAGTAGGGAGTGGGGGGAATGGGTTATGGGGACTATGACTGGGGATTGTATAGGGGATACTACAGGGATCCATTCCCCCTTTCCCTGCTAAGAACGAGACAGAAAAAGGTTTTGCAGCCTAAAACCCTAAACCCTAAACCCACCCTGAATCCTGAAGCAGCCCCTCGACCATGAACTTTCAACTCTAAAGCCTGAGCTACAACCTAGCACCCCCACCACCCTAGACCCGAGGCCCTGAACCCCAAAACCGAACCCCCCGAAGCCCTAAGCAAGGCTCCCATGCTATAGAACCCAACCATAGATCCCTTTAAGGAACCCTATTCTAATTACTAAGGCCCCTATACTAAACCCCCCATAATGCCCCCTTTAGTAAGCCCCTCATAGGCCCCTTTACAGTAACCCCTTTAAAAGATACCCCATTCTAATGACCAAGGCCCCCAAAATTAACCACATGGCGAGGAGTACCAAGCGAAGGCCGCCAGAACCGTCTGCGGAGCATCCCAGGGCCTTTAAAAGCGCTATCTCAGGGCGACGTAGTCCTTTCTTTACCAGAGTTCCACGGGTTTTGAGAGTTTTTTCCAGTCATACCTGTCGCCGGAAAGACTTCCTTATTTTCAAGAGGTAGGTCTTTTGGGCCGCAGGTAGGTGCTATGAGTCTAAGGGCCACCCATGTGGTTCCTTCCAGCGTGGAGCGAATCTTGGTAGTGGGGAGCCTACCGAACGGTTTAGGGTTTAGGGTTTAGGGGCCTAAACCCTAAATCCTAAGCTTCGGAAGTTTGGGAGTTCTGGCATTCATGGGCTCCACTGTCACAGGGCTAGTAAGGCTAGTACTTACATTGCCGCAGTTTTAAGTCTTGGCACAGTGGGCTTCTCGCCATTCAGGCTAGGCCCATTGCGTTATTGTCCAATTTGCGGTCCAGGGTCGCAATGAACTAAACGTCTTCAAAAGCTGGGATCTACACCCTGAGCCCAGCTGAAAGGGATCTGCACTCGGAGCCAGCGTTACTCGCATGCGGAGCTTCCCTGAAACCCTAAGCTGTCCGCGGTAATGAAGATTCCTGATTGCAAGAAATAGTTGCTAATGGTAACGAAACCTCCTTAAAGTAACCTTTGAAGGAACTGCAGACGAGAGAGACACTCCAATGAACCTTAACCCTAAATCCTACATCCTATAGATCCTAAGCCCTAAATCCTATAAACCCCAAGTTCTAGACCCTAAAAACCCTAAGCCCTAGCTGCAAGGTGGCCCTCGAGAAGCAGCGGGAGAAGGAGCGCTCCATAGCCCTGCTGAAGAAGAAGGAGCAGGAGGCCGAGCTGCGGGGGGTTCAGGGTTCAGGGTTTAGGCTTTAGGGTTTAGGGTTCAGGGTTTAGGTTTAGGGTTCAGGGTTTAGGAATTCTGTTTAGAGGTGCCTTTCAGGGTTACGATACTGGTGGAGGGGTGGTGCCTTTAAGGGGTTGCTGAACGGGTTCTTAAGGGGTGCGTTCAGGGTCGCTTAATGCGAACTGTCAGCGATACTGAAGGGGGTACCATTGGGGATACTTGAAGGGTTACTATCAGGGCCACTTAAGGGGTGCGATCAGGGTTGCTGAAGGGTACTGCAAGGGATTGGGGTTACTAGTCTTGGACTTCAGGGTTCAAGATCGTCGACTCTGTGGTGGGCAAAAAGGCCAGTTTACCAGTTCCTTTGTAGAGAGTGCTCGCTCCCCGGCAAATGGAACGCTGACATGTCCTGAAAAGGTCGTGCGCCTGCCGCCGTTCACTTCTCGTAGCTTGCTAAGCTCTGCGAACATCCAACAACGCAGAGATCGTTCAATTCAACTTCAACTGAAGCCGTAGATATCCTACACCTCATAACTCTACACTCAAAGCATCCGAGCCCGTGCATCAGTTCGATCAGTATCCGCAGCCAGGTGCATATCAAGGATCAGCAGCTGCGGGCGGCGAAACAACGGATTCAGGAGCTCTTGGCATCTTCCCTAATCCCTAAACCCTAAATCCCTAAACCGCTTTCATTCCCGAAGCCTCGCGCCAAGCCTGTCCATGCTGCCCGAGACGTATGACGGACTCTGCGCTTGACCGGCGACACGTTCTAAACGTGTGATAGCAACAGCGTCGTTCTTTCGCAAAGCCACGCATTCTTGATGACATAGCTCTCAAACCCTTGCTTATGGTGCTGCAGGATCTAGAATCTGAGCTGCGCAGCACCGCAACATCAGCAGGTGGGACGTCTGGAGTCAGAACAGGGAAGTTGAAGAGTAGTGGTATTCACGGGCAAGGCAAGTCGGTGCTCATTGTGCCAACAAGTTGATGGTTCAGCGAGGTGCAACCTGGTTGAGCCTCATATGATCTGGATGAGATAGCATACGGTCAGCATCGTGCGAAAATTTGCATCACCATGTGAGCATGTGCAGTATCCGTATCTCAGTTTGTACATAGGTATATGTGTATATGTTTATATGTATAGATGCATGCTCGTTGATGGTGGATGTATACCTGTATATACGTATGTACATATGCATGTGTGTATATAAACACGTTTATATATGTATACGTATATGTATATGTATATGTATATGTATATGTATATGTATATGTATATGTATATGTATCTGTATCTGTATCTGCACATGCACATGCACATGCAGATGTATATGTATATGTATATGTATATGTATATGTATATGTATATGTATATGTATATGTATATGCATATGTATATGTATATGCATATGTATATGTATACGTGCATATATAGGTGTGTGTGTGTATATATATATATTCACATGTATAAAGTCTGATGGGCCGAGTACAGTGTAGTATCGGCTGCAATATGAGCCAACACGATGTGCCACGAGATGGTTTGGAGCCCGCAAAAGTCAAACCCTAACATAGATGCCTAAATAATTACCACACTATTTTGGGGTTTCCTTATAATGATATATAATAGAAAGGACTCCAAAACCCTATTCTAGTTATTAAGGCCCCTATATTAGGCCACCCCAGAAGACTTCGGCAGGATCTGAGAAGCAGCGACCTACCTGCAGCCGTCAGCCACCAAGCCAGTCTCGGAGATCGGAGTTTACTCTGGTTTGGTCCTCTTAGATGGTGAACAGGGGAACTTTAAACACCGTCCTTCTTAAGGCTCCCCCTATTATGATTTCTTTATAGAGGATCCTGGAAAAGATACTTGCAGGATCATGGGACTTAGTAGCTAGGGATATAAATAAGGCAACTATACTTATAACTCCAATTAGGGTACTTATAACCTTACTTCCTAAGTCCCATGATCCTCCAAGTAACCAATATTCATTGTAGGATAGTAGGCAGGATACTATGTGCTCACCATGATACATTGAGCTTCAAGAAAAGACGGTGCGGAGGACGACAATCATACTTCGTTCACAACAGGGTGAATACCGATACTGCTCTGGGGTTCGTTCGAACATAAACCTCCACCAACATCGACACTGCCAGTGCAACACCCGAATAGCGAGTAGTAACCAATACTGGCAGCAGTCATGGAAGTCGTACTGCTCATAAATCAAGCAGTGCACGCACAACAAGCGGTGGGCGAGAAACAGTCACATTGCTCACGGCAAGGATTCACATTAATGTTTGCATGAACGAAGAGTTTAACTGAAGAATATGACTAGTAGGGTGGAGAATGGGTGCTGCAAGTGTTTACTTCGAGCATACAGCATGTTCATGGTATTCAAGTACTCGTTGCATTTATTCGACAAGCCGTACCCGCGAGGCTTGTCGCAGTCGCGCTCGTACTAGCAGTGCTACTCGTGCCCGTACTACGAGGTATAGGTCGTACGAAAGGTTCGAACACCATTTCTGGTAGAAATAGCGCCTGGCACTCATGGTAGCACTTTCAGTGGCTGCAGGCACAGGCCCAAACCAAGCTCATTGCAAGCAGGTTGACACGGGGAATTTTCAGAAACAGAGCTTTCCCAAGGCTTTGTAAGTGTCACCCCTCGAGCCTCAAGTTTCCGATAGGTCCGAGGTAGACTTCCGACCCTGAACCCTAAACCCTAAATCCTAACTCCAAAATCCGCTGCTTCTTAAGCTCCGAGCTTGTCTAAGCCACAGGCCTTGAAGCTATCTGGGGCTTTGAGAAGATGGAGAAATCAACTCGACATAGTAGGATCCTTATTGTGGGGATTATCACAGAACCCTGATTGGTGGGATAAATTCATAAAGAAGCCCGACCATAGCCACACAAAGGAGGATCCCTACAAAACGCAATGTAATCAAGAGCACCAGAGAGTAGGAGCCTTGCAAGAAGGCCTAATACAAATCTAAACCCTGAAGCCTAGAGCCCCAAGACTTGGATACGCAATACTCGGCAGCCGCAACAATAATCCTAATACTCCGAATCCCTAGTCGTGTTCCTTTGCGGGGTGTCCTGCCTTTTCCGGGATCTTCTGAGGTTTCGGCCGTAAAGCTGCACCCCGCAAACCCTAAACCCTAAACCCAAAGCCCAAACCCTTAAACCTGACCCTAAACCCTACCCCCCCCCCCCCCCCCCAAAAGCAAACCCTAAACCGGTTCCCAAGGCGCGGAGAACTCCGCGCTGCCGCCCTTGCCTCTCTCTGCACGCTGAGTCGGCTGGAAGCCCCAGTAGTCGGCAGGAAGAGCGCTGTTCGGTTTATTGTTACTGATACTAGTCTCATATTTTCCGAGTATTACTATGGCTGGTCTTATCCTTGTTGTTACGTTCTTATCCTTATTGATACTACTAGTATCAATGTGAGTGTTACTGCTATTGGTATTTGTGTGCAGTTTAGGGTTTTGAGGTCTTGCGTAAGTTGGGGGTTCAGGGTTTGGGGTCGCAACGGTGTCTGCCCCCGCTGTGTGGAATGGCTCGGGCCTGGGATTTAGTTTCCCTCCCCTGCCCCTGTGGAACGGTTGGGTGGTCTAAACGGCTTGGGCCTTGGGTCTCGGGCAGATGGGGCCGTTAGAGGGGTGGGGGGGAGGGGTGGAGCTGTGGGCGCTGATAGGTGGAGAATGCCAAACTGCACGCGCAAAGTCGAAAAGCGACAAGTCGAAAAGTTGTAAAAACAATGATTTTGCGCGAAAACCTCGTAAAGTCGAAACGCAGCGAAAAGCGAAAGTTGAAAAGTACAGCAAAACGTGAAAAGTTGAAAAGTCGAGAAGCCGCTAAAAGTCTAATGGTACAGCAAAACGTGAAGAGTCGCCACAGCAGAATCCGAAAAAAACAACAATTGCCTCAGCAGAGAGCAAAGGCAGATCTAGGATAATGTTAAGGATTCGGGTACTGGGGGAGTCTTCTGGCCTTGGGGCCTATTAAGATTGAAACCTTCTCAATCAGATCAAAGCACCATAAAGCATGTCCATCTTCACAACGTGTGCGAGGTGTCCGTGGCGCAGGGAAGTCGATGTGGAAGGTTCTACAAAAAACACACAACCATTTGCATATGCTGTGTGTGTAAACAAAAGCAAAAATATTGTTATACGTAGATGCATATTTATGTATATACATATATACATTTATCTGAATGAATAAACATAAATGGTACCCCCCAAAACCTACTTCCAAATAGTTTGTACACTATAATCGTATTGGTTCTTGGTTAAAAGCACAACAAATCAAACTTGGTTTTTCCCTGCTTTGAACATCGAACATCGAAGATCTCACAGAAAGTTTTCCCAGGATCTTCGATGTTCAATGTTCAAAGCATCGACAGAACTTTTTCATATTTTCCGTCGTGTTTATAAATGTAAAGATGTTATGTAGACTATACTGTACAATACATATATACAAGTACTGCCGTATAGCTACAGGCGTGCTGATTTGCAGACTGTCCTCATGCAGATCCGGATGCGAGCTACATGTCCAAGTCAAGTGCTTGCCGCAGTATTCTGACTTCAGCCGTAGCCGAGAAAAGAATTCTTGCCATCATAATGTCCACTCCTATGCAGGTCACAGGGCTTTGCGAGTTCAAAGGCAAGGGCGTCGCAACACTACACCATCAACATGTCTCTTCGTCCGGTGCGGCATCGTCGGGTGATAAGCCCAACATAAATTGGCGAGCCCAAACCCGCAGGGCGTGAAGCAGTCCATCGAGGATGGTTCGATCCCAATTCATCCATCGCGTTTGTCTGTGACTCTCAGCGACATCGTTGCTACGTCAACAACATTGCCAAGTCGTTCAGGTGGGGTTTAAAGAAAGAAGACGAGTGGAACTTCGCAACCCAACAGACGTTGCTTGCGATGCTGCTAAAGAAAAAGAGCACGAACAAGGCATCGCACAACAAGAAGTTTGCAGCCAACATGAATGTGGACGGCGAAGGTACAATTCCGGCAATTGAGGACGTGCAGATGGCGGACGCCGTGTTAGACGAGATCGACACGGATGCCGCGAAGAAGATTGACGGCCTCGAGGGGACCGAGGATCATGTCCAAGATGGCAACATTGCCACAGCGGACGCCGCCCAGATTGACGACACCGTGAACACCGAGGACAACGCGAACAACGGCAACAACAACCAAGTGAGCGACGACAGCAGCAGCAGCAGCAGCGGCTGCGACAGCGATTCGGGTAGCTCCGGAACGAGTGCGCCGCCAGAGGTGGAATACAGTCAGTGGGAAAGCAGTTTGCACGACGGCTTCCAGAAGATGTCCGCACTCCATACAGAGTTCGGCGATACCACCAAGAAACAGCGTGTGCTGAACAAGCTTCTGAAGATGTTCATCAAAGCGAAGGCCAGTGTAGACAACTTGTAACCAAGAATACGGCGGCTGTGAGCTGTTCCAGCATGGTCGCTTGGAGTGTCAAGAAAGAATGCGCCACGCCCGCCGGTCCGATTCAGATGCTTGCTTGCTTGCTTGCTGTTTCTCTTAGTAGCTATGTAGGAAAGAGAAGAAAATGTGTTTATGTATACAATCCACGCCGTAGCCAACGCTCGTCCAGTCTTTGGCACCGGTAGCCCCTTCGCTTCACACGCTTACACGCCATGGCTGTTAATCTCTTGGATGCAGCGATGAGGAAGGTGAGTGAAAAGGATTCCAACGTTCGGGTTCTTTTCGAACCACACTGTTTTCGTGCAGAGCACACTACGGAATCCATCTCCTTCGTCAGTGGGGCTTGCCGAGAGCTAGGCCCTCTGCGATCGTCAGTTGCGACCCTCTGTGATGTGCACGCGTCGATTCCAGAGTTTGGAAGTGCTTCCAGTTTGGGAGAAACCGTGCAGGACTGCGTTCAGGCTGAATGTCGTGAGAGGAAACTCGGTCCTGCTGACCCCCGCCCAATCCCCTGCCTTTGTTTTGCGCCATATGTCTAATTTTCGCCTCTGGCCATCCTTGAATGTCCATCGCGGGCTGCAATGCATTCGTTCCCCAGTTCCGTACAGGACCTTGGATTGTGAAGAAGGCCATGATGCTTCTCCTGGACAAGCTGCCAGGCCATCGCATTTGCCAGCACATGTTGGACGACAAGGCACCGGCGAATCTTCGAAGAAGTTCATCGTCACGAAGCAACTGGGCCCCCGAGAACGACGAACTCGCGAAGGGCATCACGTTCAGAAACGACCAGGCTCCCGAGTGCGACTCCCGCAACGAGCAGACTTTTTGGATATTATCGTCCATCAGATCGGAGTGCTGCTGACTTCAAGAAATACACAATCTTGAGAACATCAACCAGGCCTTCTCCAAGATTACATACGATCACGTCCACGTTGGCAAAAGCAGGCATGGCGGCCCTGAAGCGTATGGCTTTAGGAAGATCGCCCAAACGCCAGCTGCGCACCACCACATCCTTAGGTACCTGTATCCTCTCCTCATGACAACGGCGGTCATGATGCTGGGCTGTCCGGTGTGGGTAAGACTCCCGCCATCATCGCTATGGCGCTTGCCATGGGCCGCTACCGTGTGAGACGTCCAGGCCTCCAAGGCGTGCTCCCCGGCTGGCGGCGGTCCAAGTCGCTTGGCACTTTTCGATGCAAAGTGTCACGCGTGTATGAGGCCGTGGTTTTGGACGACCCCAGCCGTAGGAAAGTTTACATGCCAGACCTGAAGAGCTTTGTGACCGTGGACGAGGACGGGACAACCGAAGGTCGCTACAACGATGCCAAACTGGTCCGGAATCAGATGTGGGCAATTGCCCCCCCCAGAGACGACCGCCCAAAGATGGATTACACAGAGACTACCTTGATTTTGGAGGCCTTCATGAAGATGGTAGACCCCGAGAAGCGAACACGAGAAGGATCATGGCTGCATTTTACTTGAAGTTTCCCAGCGAGAAGAAGGACGCCGTTGGGAACGGAATTGTGTGGGCAGCCTTCACAAAGACTTGCTTGACGAGGAAGATAAGCCCTTCTACGACAGCTACAAGAAGGGCATCACCACCTTTAGCCCTTCGTGTCATGACAAGGTCGAGCGAGAGCAACACTTGATCGATGCAGCCGTGACCAAGAGGGCCGAGTTCAAGAAACAGGCCGAGTACATCCAGTTCGTGAATGATGACATCCAAAAACGGATCGTGCCCCGTAAAGTCTTGCCCTCTTCGCCTTCGGAGTCTTCGGATGAAGCGCCAGCACATGCCTGTCACGAAGGCGAGGCTGGCCCATCCAGATGCGCCTCGAAAGTGATGGTTGGAGTCATCGAAATTTGTATATACTGGAGCAACGCCAGACAAACGCCTGCGACGCAAGCACTCCTGTCCTCTCCCTTCTGAGTCGCAGCCTGAAAAGGACAATGGTGTGGACGATAATGCACAGACGGTGGAAACGCCCGAAGGAGAAGAGCTTAGATCGGAACACGCGCCGGCAGAGCATGCAGGCCCCAGCAGCTTCAGAGATTCAGACACCCTGGTCGACCGGGAGCCCTTGGATGCAGAACTAGAGAATGTGTTCGACAAGGATAGTCCGTCCGACGAGATGGATGTTGCGGACGATCCCGACGAAGAGGCCAGCAAGTACTTTCACGACTGAGGCGGGACAACGGCGTATTGTGATGTAACAGACAGATAAGCTGTCAGTTTTGACGCATCCGGGAGCGGCCAGTTGAAATCGTGCAAACAATGACTTGTCCGCTCTCTCATTCTTGCGAGCAGCGACGCTCTGCATTGCGACCCTGCAGTAGCCGTCTTGGACAAAGTAGATATTTCGTTCTACGTAACTCGAACTGACACTCATCGCTGTCCGACGCTTCAATGTGGTAGCTCCTAAACGGGGAATGCAAAGGCTCAACCATAAGAATCCTGCCATGAAGAAGCCCGCCGCCTACGCGATGCATACGTTCGGGATAAGACGACTGTCGGGAGTCGTGGTGTTCGTAAAGAACAGGTGAAATCCAAGAGATCATTGCCTGAACTCCTGAAAGCATCGGACGATGAGATTTTGTGGAGATGCTCGTCGCAGATGGCATGCTGCCGGATTGGACCGGCAAGCAGTGTCCCCGATGTCAGAAGGGTCGATTGTCAAAGCCGATTCAGCATCCCTGTGACTCGGGTCTCAGTCGAAAGCATTGCCAGGTGTATGTACAGGGCTTAGGGTTTAGGGGTTTAAGGTTATGGCTTTTATGGTTTAAGGGCTCAAGGTTTGGGGTTTGCTGGTTTAGGGCTTCGTTTTACGAGTTCTGGT